TCTTTGTACTACCAGTTAAACCCTTACCACGAGCCGCTGAGCATGCTACTGATGCATTATCGCAAATCTGGCTCCATTACCATCAAGGTATACTACTAAATGGTCCCTGTGCTGAGTATCAGGTTGGGAGGGCTGTTCCTCATGGAGCTGCGCGTGCAGACGGTTTGGGTCCGAGACGGTCAGGCTCGCCAGGAACAGGTTTGCCTCTGCAGAACTGGGCCATAAAGTCCGTTCAACTTCTGACCTAGCTAACCATTTAGAGCGCATGTTACTCTATTCTGCCCTGCAAGGGCGGCCCAATCCGACCGTGTCACGGCCGGCTGGAAGGAAAAAGAAGGTGCAGCCTCGGGGGGATGGTCCCGCTGAGCATGCTACTGATGCAATATCGCAAATCTGGCTCCATTACCATCAAGGTATACTACTAAATGGTCCCTGTGCTGAGTATCAGGCTGGGAGGGCTGTTCCTCATGGAGCTGCGAGTGCAGACGGTTTGGGTCCGAGACGGTCAGGCTCGCCAGGAACAGGTTTGCCTCTGCAGAACTGGGCCACAAAGTCCGTTCAACTTCTGACCTAGCTAACCATTTAGAGCGCATGTTACTCTATTCTGCCCTGCAAGGGCGGCCCAATCCGACCGTGTCACGGCCGGCTGGAAGGAAAAAGAAGGTGCAGCCTCGGGGGGATGGTCCCGCTGAGCATGCTACTGATGCAATATCGCAAATCTGGCTCCATTACCATCAAGGTATACTACTAAATAGTCCCTGTGCTGAGCATCAGGTTGGGAGGGCTGTTCCTCATGGAGCTGCGCGTGCAGACGGTTTGGGTCCGAGGCGGTCAGGCTCGCCAAGAACAGGTTTGCCTCTGCAGAACTGGGCCACAAAGTCCGTTCAACTTCTGACCTAGCTAACCATTTAGAACGAGTCTTACTCTATTCTGCCCTGCAAGGGCGGCCCAATCTGACTGCGTCACGGCCGGCTGGAAGGAAAAAGAAGGTGCAGCCTCAGGGGGATGGTCCCGCTGAGCATGCTACTGATGCAACATTGCAAATCTGGCTCCATCACTGTCCAGACCTATCATTGGCAGAATGGTAGCCCCGCTGCAAGCCGAGGAGAGTCGCATGACAAGGACGAGAAGCACCAGCGCAGGAGGCTTCCTCTGGCCCTGTCTTGCGCAGAGTGGACAGCACCTACTCAATAGAGCAGAGCATGTCAGCTCAAATGAGCTCATTCTCAGAGGTCTGTGTGCGCAATTGAGAGTGCCCGTTGCCATTGCGAAAGTGCCACGTGCACGCGCGCCCGACAGGGAGGTTCTGCAAGCGGCTGGCAAGGCAAAGGCAAAAAATTCACTTGTAAGCTGCTGTTTATACACTACAGACAAAGCCCCTGCTGCACGGACCCTCCTCTATGCCTCAAGCGCCTCGAAAGACCGAACCCTGACCTCGAGCGTCGCCGTGTTGACCAGCACCACTTCACCCGTCTCCTTGAACCGTGGTACGAGCACAATGCGCACCCTCTTGCCGTCGGTGCCCTGCACCAACCGTGTCGAGAACGCAGGCTGGTTGCCGATGAAGTAGACGTGCGGCGCCTGGTGCAGGATGAACGGGTCGCGGTCGGTGAAAGGGTAACACCCTGCGCACGCGTCCAGACCGCAAAGGCAGCATCAGTGACAAGCCCATGAAGCCAGAAGGGAGGCAGAGACAGAGAGGTGGACGCACAGAGTGTGTCGGGGCAGGTCGGCGCGACGTGGGACCACTCGAGCGTCTGCTCGACGACGCCGAGCCGGTCCTCGCTCTCGAGGTACTTGAAGATGTCGTCGATCGTCTGGCCCGACGTGCCGAAGAAGCTGCGCGAACAGGCGAGACACGTCAGGCCGAAGCCGTGAGGCGCGCGAGAGAGAGAGAAAGAAAGAGCCGACGCACCTCGCGCCGCCAATGTCGCACCAGAACGGGTTGGTGCGCCCGGCAAAGCCCTCGAACGCGGCCGCTTGAGGCAGCATGGCGGCATGCAGGGGCTGTTGCGGCATCGTCGGCTCGGCAGGGTCCGTCTCGCCCGACATGAGGTCGACGGCGAGTGACGGCGCGAGCTGGGCGAGAAAGGCGTCGAGCGTGTCGGTCGGCTTAGCCGTGTAGAGCGTCGAGTCGTAGCCGTAGCGCTTCTGCAAGGTGCGGGCGAGAGGGCGAGTCAGTGGGCCGTCGAGGTCGTGAGGCGCAAGAGGGAGGGCGACGCACCTTCTTGGGCTCGTCGTCGAGGGCGCTAAGGTCCGGCTGCGCGAGCGAGTTGCCGGCGAGGATGAGCCTCGTCACGCGGGTCGCCTCGTCCGCGTCCTGCGCCGGGTCAAGTGTCAGCACGGCGGGTCGAGCAACGCGCGAGAGGTCGAGGAACGAGAAGCGCACCTCGTCGCCTCCTGCCTCGCCGAGGAGCCACTCGGCCATAAGCTCGGCCCGCACATCGGCGACGGCGTTGGCGCCTCCCATTTCGAGGCCGCTCGCGATGGCGACCCACTCGCCCTCGGGCGTCGGCGGCGCGAGCGGCTCCTGGTGGGGCATGCCCGCGAAGCAGTAGTCCCACACGTCAAAGTCGCCCGACGACGTCTCGGCACCGAGGGCCGCCATGATCGTGCCTGCGGGCGGGCGCGGAAAGTCAGCTTTTGCGCGAGGAGGACGAGGGCAAGGGAACTGAGAGGGAGAGCGAGGCGCACCGGTCACGAAGGTCCCCTCGGCATCGTCGATCTTCTTGCCGACGAGACGCACCCGACCGCTCTCGTCCTCGAGCATGACCTCGTCTGAAGCCGAGTGGAACTTGCGGCGCGTAGACGGGGCCGTGATGTGGTGCTGCGCGCGGTCGGGCAGGTGTCAGCTCGCGCGGTCGCTTTGAGGCGACGGACGGCAGAGGAGACAACTCACGTCGCGCGCGAGGTCCTCGAGGACGTTGGGCTTGAGCGGCATGTCGACGTAGACGGTCCCGACGACGTAGCACAGCTTGCCGTTCTCGACCTCGAGCAGGCGCTTGACATGCTGCGGTGGCGACTTGGCGCCTGCAGGGCGTGGCGGACGGGAGGCAAGGAGAGTCAGCTCTGCCGTCACTGTGCGCCAGTCTGCCCACGAGGCTGCGCGTGAGCCCCGAGAGAGAGTCGCCGCCGCCTGGACAGGAGCACCCAACTCTCGGCGGCAGCGCACGCCTGGGCAGCGACATTGACCGCGCACGCTCGACGCACGCAGCATGCCTGTACGCTGCAGCTGGCCCACCGGCACCCACCGCCGCCGCGGCCGGCTCCACCCCGCTGGCGCGCCTCGACGCGGTCCCTCATCGCCCCCGAGAGAGAGGCAGAGAGAGAGGTGGAGACAACGAGCCGACGCACCTTCGAGCCCCGAGCCCTCGACCCAGCGTTTCCGTGCGCGCTCGAGGACGCGCTTGCGCTGCACGACGAGGCGCAGCCAGTACAGGTTGGCGTACTGCTTGGCGAACTGGGCCTCGGCGCGAGAGGTGGTGAACGGCGGGCGCAGCGGGTCGTCGTCCGAGTCGCCGGGGACTGAGCAGACCGAGCGAAGGCGCTGCGGCATGGGCGGGTGCGGCTCGGTGGGCGGGTTGGCGAAACGAGCGAGAGGTGAGGAGGAGAGCGGGGTGCGCAGGCTGAGGTGGGGAGGCCAAGTTGGCTCGCTCGCTCTCGCCTTTCGTGCTACTGGAGCTCTCTTCGAGGCACATGAGTTGAACAGACTGGCAATACAAGGCGCGCTCGCGAGGGAAGGCGAGCCGGACCGCACCTCCTCCCCTCGCCCTCCTCCGTCCTTGGCGCGCCTCATGCGATGAACTTGGACATGAACTTGCGGTGGTACGCCTGTCACAAGGGAAAGAGAGAGAAGAGCTCGTCAGGGTCGTGTCGCGCGAGAGGGGAGCGGGAGAACAAGAAAGGAGGACGCGGCCGACGCACCGACCTGCCGACGTCGTTGAGGAACACGGCCGTCTTCTTCTCGTCGACGCCGTGCGCCTGGTTCTTGAAGATCGAGTCCGAGTCCCACCGGCGCTTGACGCCGAACCCGGCCGAGGTCGAGGTCGACGACGACATGGTCGAGGGTGCGGGCGACGCGCCGAGCGCGGCCTGGAGGTTGAGGAGCGGGCTGCGCACGAGGGTGTCAGCTAGGGGCCACGAGGCGGTAGAGCACGAACGCAGTGCCGAGAGGAAGGGAGGGAGAGAGAAAGAGAGGGAGGACGCACTTGCCCGTCGCGATCTCCTCGTCGCGCGACACCTGCTCGTTGGCGGCCCGCTCTCGCTCCTGCGCACGAGAGCGTCAGTGGCTGCCCGGCAAGAGAAGCGCGAAAGGAAAGGACGCAGGGACGCACCTGCCTCTCCTTCTCCTCGGCCCGCTCGCGCTTGATCTTCTCGAGCTCGCGCAAGAGCTCGGCCGTCTCGTCCTCGTCGTCATCCGAGTCGTCCGAGTCGTCGTCGTCGTCGTCTGCATCGCCGTCGAGCGCCTTGCCCTTGCCCTTGTCGACCGCGCCGTCTGCACCCGCATCGCTCGCGTCGTCGTCATCGTCGTCCGAGTCGTCCTTGTCGAGGTTGGCCGCCTCCTGGAGCATGCGCTGGCGCTTGTTGGCGTGCTCGCTCTGGGCGTCCGACTCGGCGCGGTCCTGCTCCTCCTTGAGGAGGAGGAGCTTGGTGTCCTGGACGTAGCCGCGCTCGCCGCGCGACTTGCGCACGGCCGCGTCCTGCTCGGCCTGGAGGAGCTCGAGCTTGAGGTCGCGGCGCGCGTGCTCGGCCGTCGTGCCCTGGCCAGGCTGCGGGTTGCGGTGCGAGGGTCAGGTCGGCTCGAGCGACAGGCGGGGGAGAGGGGCAAAGCGGGACGCACCTGGCGGAACTTGAGGCGGGTGTGGGACGCGAGGTCGCGCGCCGAGAACGAGCGCGAGTTCTGGCGACCCTCCTTGCCCTGCGCCGGGGCCCATGTCGGGCGATGCGCGGAAGACATGTCGTGAGTCGACTGCGAGCGTTGCAGGTACGGTGGAGGAGGAGATGGGGGGGAGGGGGAGGGGCAAGAGGGTCAGTCGCGCTCGATCCGGATGCGCCGCGTTTCCCGGACCGAGAGTGCAAGTCGACGCACTGTGTTCTAGTCGCTGAGCAGGTCGTCGAGCTGGGTGAGTCGAGAGAGTGGGAGACGAGGAGATGAGGGTCGGAGGAGGCGGGGTTCGAGAGGTCAGCACCGTCCCGCCGCGGTCCACCGCAGTCACCCAGGTGGAGAAGAGCAGAGTGCGCACTTTGTGGGCCTTGGCGATGGGTCCCTTGTCGTGAGGAGGGCGAGGTGGTGCGGCCGGAAGGCTGGAGACGACGAGGAGGTGGACGAGGGGGGAGGCGGGGTCCGCGGTCAGTTCTGGCGCGTGCGGCTGGCTTGCAAGGGCAGGCTCGGGCGCGAGGACGCACTGGCTAGTAGCTCTGGGGCCTCGTTGGATGAGGTCGTTGGTGGTGGTTGCTGCGGAGTCGAGGCCTTGCGCACGCGGGTTCGGCCTCGCTCTCTCTCTGTTGCGCTCGGCTCTCGCTCTTTCCCTCCATCGTGCGCCTTGCTGCAGAGTGCACGCCGACCACCAGCGCCGCACCTCGCACCCGCCGCGCGGGACAGCGCTCTCTCGTCGACTCGGCCCCCCTCCTCCGCTCCGCCCCGCAGCGGTCCTCGTCCCCGCCCTCGTTCCGCCTCGCCTCGCCCCCGACCCGCCCGCCTACCGCCATGGCCAACGTGCGCTTTGCCGCTATCCCGGCCACGAACCGGCTTGCGGACCTGCCCATCGAGGCCCTCACGCGCGTGTTCGCGGCCGTCCTCGTCGACCGCGTGCACGACAACGACCGCCTCGCGACAAAGGGCGCCATCACGCGCTTCCACTCGAAGCAGCCCCCGCCGCTCGAGATCTCGGCCTACGTCGACCGCCTGTGCAAGTACACGCCGTTCCCGCGCGACGCCGTCCTCCTCGCCGTCGTCTACCTGAACCGCATCACCCACCTCCCCTACACGGCCGAGCCCGGCGTCGACCCGGCGCCGCTCCTCGCCGTCGCGCCTCCGCGCCTGCCGCCACGGCCACCCTCGGCCGCGCGACGAGCCGTGCGCTCGCCGCCGACCTCGCCTACCACCGCGACGGGCGGCCTGAGCCCACCCGCGACCCTCTCGCCCATCGAGGCGCCCTCCCCTCTCCCTCCCTCGCCCACCATCTCGTCCGTCGACCGACCCCGGGTCGCCCCCTTCCTCAACAGCTACACCCTGCACCGCCTCGTCCTCTCGGTCCTCCTCATCGCGACAAAGTTCACCGCCGACGGCACCCTGTCGCAGACGCGCGCGGCCAAGGTCGGCGGCGTCGGCGCCAACGAGCTGTGCAAGCTCGAGGGCGAGGGTTTGCGCCTCCTCGGGTGGGAGCTCGGGTGGTCGCTCGACGAGATCGAGGGCGCGTGCGTCGAGCTCGAGCGCGAGGCCGAGAAGAGGGGGATCGTGCCGTGCGAGGCCGAGGAGCGCCGGGCGGCCGTCGCAAGGCGGGCCGACGAGGTGCGCCCGCCCGGGACGGACCCTCCCGCCGCCGCCGCCTTCGACGCGCCGGCCCTCCTCCCGTTTGCCTCCCCACCGCGCCCATCCTTCCTTACTGCCCCCTCGCACCACGCCGTGCGCCGTCCCTCGCTCTCGACGCGCTCCTCGGGCTCGACTTCGACCTCGGCAACGACCACGACAGCGTCCTCGTCCTCAGAGGCGTCCACCTCCCAGCCCTCGTCGTCCGCCAGCTCGCCCCAGCTTTTCATCGCCCTCCCGCACGACGTCGCCGGCGCGCGGCGTCCCCACCCTCACGCCCACGCGCACGCGCTCCCGAGCCGGGCGCGCGCAGCGAGGACAGGCTCGCGAGAGGGCACGGTGCGCGAGGGCGACGAGCTGACGCCGCCGAGCTCGCCGAGCGCGAGCAGCGTCGAGGGCGCGTGCGACGGCGTCAAGGCGCTGTGCGGTGGCGAGGGCGGCGCGGGCGAGGACGGGGTCGTGCAGGGCGTGGGCGCGCTGCGGTTGACGGCGAGGCCCGAGGCGTGAGGAGGCGAGGGGAGGGGGTCCCGGGCGGGTTTTGGTCGGATCGAGCGTCTGTTCCTGTTGTTCCTTCCTCTCTCTTTTTCTCTCTTGGTCCCGATAGCCTCCCCTGTTGCCTCTCGTCATCTGCCGTAGTTAGTCTCTCCCTGTCGAACTCGGACCGTCTCGTCCTCGTCCATGTCTACGACCCAAGCCAGCTCTCGCGCTCGCACTGTCAGACCCGCCTCTCTCTCTCTCTTCTCGCGAGCCGCACAATCACGCACGAAAGCCAGAGAGCTGAAGATCGGCAATGACGGCTTGCCGCGAGCTCCTCTCGCTACAGCGTCCGCCCCGTCAACGCCGCCGCGACACTCTCGTCCTCGGCCTCGTCGTCCGTGTCGCTGCCGTAGTCGGCAAACATGGCGCCGAGGCCGCTCATGGACGCGGCGGCCGGCGCTGGTACGGCGGCGACGGCGGGTGCGCGTGCGGCGACGGCGAGAGGGGGGGAAGCGGGTACGGGCGCGAGTGCAGGTGCGGGTGCAGCGGCGGGAGACGACGGGGTGGACGAGGTCGAGCTGCTGGATGAGGATGCCGACGAGGAGGAGGAAGGCGAGCCCGGTGCAGCGTCCTCGACGGCGCTCCCGAGCTCCTCGATGCCCGCCGCCCGTCCCGCACCGCCGACCGCCGCCCCTTCTCCCACCTCCCCCTCGCGCAACACCTCGATCCCACTCTCCTCGTCCACCTGGCCCCTCCTCATCTCGACCCCGCGCAGCCACTCGTTGGCGCCCAAGAACTCGATCACCTGGAGCACGTCGCTCACGACGTGCTTGTAGTCGCGCTCCTCGAGGAGCGAAAAGGCGTCGGCGTACCCTGGCGGGCGCGCAAAGGGGTTGTGCGGCGCGCGGGGAGGGGCGGGACGGCGGCGCTTGGGAGGGGGAGGGGGGCGAGCGCTCGCGGGAGGGATCTGCGGACGGCGAGGCCGGGTTCGTGAGCGTGAGGTCGACGACGAGGGGGCAGAAAAGGGAGAGCGAGAGACGCACCTCGTGCAGGTACGGGCAGTCGTCGCCAAGGCCGCAGTTGCCCCGCCGCCAGTGGTGGCACACGACCTGGAAACGCTTTTGCGGCGCCGCACCGGAAGCCTCGCCGTCGACGGGCGCCCCTGCGCTGCCATCCTCGACGTCCATCGTCTCCTCACCGACGGCGACGTCGCCGAGCGCCTCCTTGGCGCTCGCCTGCTCGGGCGGCCCATCGTCCTCCTCGTCCTCGTCCGCCGAGCCCTCGCTCGCCTCTTGTCCGCCGTCCTCGTCTGAGGACGAATCGGGCTGCTCGTCACCCACCGTAGCCGCCGCCGGCCCGTCGACCCTCGCCCTCTTGACCGGCGGCTCGTCCCGCCCTTGCTCCTCGCCCGCCGGGGCCGGCCCACCCTCACCCGCCTCGCCCGCGCCCCACCCGCCGTCCCTGCCGCCCTCACCGCCGCCGAACCCGCCACGGCCCCTCCCGCGTCCGCGCGAGTCGGTCGGCCCGCCGCGGCCCCTGCCCCGGCCGCGCGCGCCGTTGCGCTCGCGCGGCGGGGCTTCGAGGCCTGCTGCGACGCGTTGCGCTCGGGCGCGCTCCTGCGTGGAGCGCGGCGTGTGCGAGAGAGAAAAAGTGGGGAGAGGGAGAGGAAAGGCAGGGCGAGTATCAGCGCTGCTCCTCGCGAACGAGTCGAGGAAGGAGGGGGAGGGGGAAAAGGGCGAGCCGGGCGGCGCACCTTCTCGTCAACGACCTTCTTGGACGGCCAGCGCTTCTTGCGCTCCTCGATCCAGCGCGCGACGGCCTCGGGCGTGTCGAGCGCGATGCCGGTACCCTCGATGACGGCTCTGCAAGCGCGAGGTGGACGGAGAGTGTGTCAGTGCCCTGCTGCGCCGCGACGGAAAGGAGAGAGAGAGAAAGAGAGCGGCAGCGACGCACCCTTCCTTGGGCTTGAGGCTCCCGTCCCACCCCTTGGGCTCCTTGCCCGGGAGGTAGATCAGGTGGCGGTCCTCCTCATGCTCGCGCACGACCTTGCGCGGGCCGGAGAACGTGCACCCGGCCTGCGAACACGCGACGACTTGCGGCTGCTGGGGCTCGCGGGGCTGCTTGGGCGCGCGCTGGGGCTGCTGCTGACGAGGTTGGGCGGCGGGACGGGCGGCACGAGAGGAGGAGGAGGAGGGTGCGGGGTGCGCCGGGCCCGAGTAGGTGGACGACAGCGTGTAGCCGTCGGGAGTCGTCTGCGCCTGCGAAGCGGCGGCGTAGTGGGCCGGCGCAGGAGGAGGAGGGAGGAACGGCTGGTGGTCGTGGTACGCCAACGGGTAGGGCTGGGCGAACGGGGCGGGAGGAGGAGGTTGGGCGGCGTAGGCGTGTTGCGGCGGTGGACCCGACGGTGGGCCATAGCCGTACGGCAGTCCTTGACCGTGCTGCTGGGCGTAGTGCGGCTGAGGCGGGAAGGCTGGAGGCTGTCCGAGGTGCGGCTGTCCGAGCTGGTGCGGGTGGTGGGCGGTCGCGTTCCAGCCGGTCGGCGGTGGTGCGGCCGGGTAGGGGTACTGCGGCGCAGCAGGGTGGTAGTGCGCGCCGCCGAGTGCGCCGTGGATCGCTGCGCCGAGCGCCGAGGGCCGTGGTGCGCCGCGAGGAGGAGGATGAGGAGCGGGAGGTGCACGAGACGAGGGGCGGGCGATGAGCGGGGCCGACCTGCGTGGCTGATTGGGGCCTGGCGGGTGGCTCATGGCGGTATTGGGCCTGCTCGACTTGGTGGTGAACGTGAGCGCGGCGGACCTCGACTTCATCAGCTGGAGCGAACCTCGTCCAACTCTCTCTCCCTCACCACCAACTCTGCCGCAACCATGATCATCACTGAGCACACTGTCGAAGTCAACACGTCCACCGGGCCCATGGCCATCACCCTCGTCGTCCCCAGTGAGCTCCCTCTCTTCCCCCACCCGCTCGGCTTCTGCCAACCTCGCTGACGCTCGCCCGCAACCCGCAGAGATCCCCGGCTACCCAAACGCCAAGTTCCCTGGTGTCGTTGTCTGGTCAGAGATCTACCAGGTGCGCCCGCCGCCGTCAAGCGCCGACTCGCCCTCCCACGCACCTCCGCCGACTCGCTCACGCCCGCATTCCTCCCTCCCCGTTGCAGGTGACCGGCCCCGTCCTCCGCTTCGCCAACCAGATCGCCGCCCAGGGCTACATCGTCGCCGCGCCCGCCTGCTTCCACGAGTTTGACTACGGCTCGGCCGCGATCCCGTACGACGTCAAGGGGACCGACGCCGGCAACGAGTACAAGGTCAAGAAGCTCCTCTCGGCGACCGACGACGACATCAAGAAGGCGATCAACACGCTTGTCGAGCACCCGAACTGCAACGGGCGCATCGGGTCGACCGGCATGTGCTACGGCGGCCACCTCGCTTTCCGGGTCCGTCGCCCGTTCCCTCCTCGCCCTCCTTCTGCACATGGTCTCTCGCGGCGAACTGACACTCCCGTCGACGGCCTCGCCCTCGCACCCGCAGACGGCCCTCGACCCGCGCTGCCGCGCCGCCGTCGGCTACTTCCCAACCGACATCCACTCGGCGTCGCTCTCGCCCGACGGCGACGACTCGCTCGAGCGCGCGTCCAAGAGCGAGATCAAGGGCGAGGTGGCGCTCATCTTCGGCACGCAGGACGGCCATGTCGTGCGTCTGCCGCTCTCTTTCTCGGAGGCCTCGCTCGCCTCGCCAGCGGCCGCGAGCAGTCACTGACGAGCTTGCCTCTCCTCCCTCCTGCGCCCAATCCACAGCCGATCGAGGGCCGCACCCTCATCCGAGAGCGCCTCACGGCCAAGTCGGTCCAGCCGCCACTCAAGCTCACGTTCCTCGAGCTCCAGGCCAACCACGCTTTCATACGGTGCGTCCCACGTCATCTCTCCAGTCGCTCTCTCATCGTCCTCGCCTCATTCGAGGGCATCGCGAGCTTACCCGAGATGGTGGTCGATGCGCAGGGACGAGATGTCCAAGGTGCGCCCTCTCTCTCTCTCACACCCTCTCTCTCTCGCACCCTCTCTCCCTTTCCGGCGACGCACACTGACCCTCTCCACGCGCGCACCACAGGGCCGGTTCGACGGCGCCATCGCCAAGGTGTGCTTCGAGCTCCTCCTCGAGATGTTCAACCGCATCCTCGCACGAGACCTGGGCGAGCCGGTCGAGGATAAGGGCGGCGACGGCAAGCTGGTCTGCTAGTCTCGGGAGCGGCAGGTCGTGCCTCGAGCGAGGGGTTGCAATGACGATGCGAGTGTATTCTTTGAGTCGAGAGCGAGAGCGAGGCAAAGTGAGGTTGTCGTCGCCAGCTCGCGCAGAAGCAAGCGCTTCCGCCGGCTCAGTTCGAGACGGCCGACCTTCGTCAACACCGCCATTCCTCTCGAGCGTCGGTCCCCGCTCGCTCTCGCTCCACCAGCATCAGCACAGCACCCTCCCACACGCGCGATGCGCCCGCCAGCCTTCCTTCGCCCCTCCCTCTCGGCGTCATCGCCCCTCGGCCCCACCAGCGCCGCACGACGCCTAGTCCAGCCCTCGCCGGTGGCACGCACGCCCCTGTACCGCCCTTTCACCTCCAGCACTCGGTCCGCCGCCCCCTACCGCCGCTTCGGCGACCGGCGTGACCCCGCCTCCACCTCCCGCCCCGACCTCGACTCGACCAAGCCCGACCACCTCTCGAGCTCGACGCGCCCCAACGAGGCGGCGAGCGCGCAGCAGGTGTTTGAGCTGCTGCGGCAGGCGACTGGGCGGCGAGGTGGGATGGGCGGCGCAGGGCGGAGCGGGTTCAGGGCGGGAGGTGGTGGGAGGCCGTCGCTGCACAACTTCAAGGCGTACCTTCGCGCGTCCTACCTTTCTCCAGAGCTCGCATGGCCGGCTCTGACGATCTCCTCGTGCACAGGCTCGCCCGTGTTCCTCGTTCTCGTGTCGGGCGGAACCTGCTACTACGTCCTGCACCTTGAACAAGTGCCTGAGACGGGCCGGTGGCGCTTCATGGACGTCTCGCCCGACATGGAGAAGCAGATGGGTGCGCAGGGCCTGCAGGAGGTCATGGGCGAGTACGGCGGCAAGGTCCTGCCGGACTACCACCCGACGGCGCGGTACGTCCAGGGCGTCGTCAAGCGGCTCATCCGCGCCAACGGGCTCGAGGACAAGCTTGGAGGGGACAAGGAGGGCTGGAAGACGCACGTCGTCAAGGAGGACGGGACCAAGAAGTGCGTCGCGTCACTCTTTCCCCTTCTCCCTCGCCCGGTTTGGCGAGCGCAAGCTCACACTCTTCCTCCCCGCGCAGTGCCTTTGTCCTGCCCAACGGTTCCATTTTCGTGTTCTCTGGGATCCTCTCGGTCGCCAACGACGAGGACTCGCTCGCCTGCGTCCTCGGTCACGGTGCGTCCCCCCTCCACCTTCCCTTCTGCCTTCCCGGACCTCGGCCGTCTTCCAGAGTGGCTCGCTCACTCTTCCTCGCCGTCCGCAGAGATCGCGCACCAAGTCGCACGGCACTCGGCTGAGCGCATGAGCGGCATGAAGGTGCGTCACGTCGACTGCGCGCTCTTGCACGGAGCGCTCGTCCGCCTCCGTTCGCCTCGATTGACCCACCCTCGTCACACGCGCAGGTCTTCTACGGGCTCGCGTTCCTCCTCTCGAGCTTTGGCATTGACATGGGCCTCTCGCAAGTCTTCCTCAACTACGTCTTCTCGCTGCCCAACAGCCGCAAGAACGAGACCGAGGCGTGCGTCCCACTTGCTCCGCACCTTCCTCCTCTCCCCTCGTCGTCCTCCATCTCGAGATCATCGCGTACTTGTCCCCCCACCATCGAGGATCCCGCTCACTAGTCGCATCCTCTGCCCACAGCGACCTCATCGGCCTGCGCCTCGCCAACAACGCGTGTTTCGACCCTCGCGCCGCCGAGGGCCTGTGGCACCGCATGAGCGCCGAGGAAGGCACGCACGGCGTCGACATGTCGTTCCTGTCGACGCACCCGAGCAGCAAGAACCGCACCAAGCAGGTGCGCGAGTGGGCCGAGGACGTCCTGCGCGACCGCCCGAGCCAGTGCGCGCCGGTCAAGGGGCACGTTGGGCCGTTCCAGGAGGCGAGCGGCGCGAGGTGGCGGTGAGCGAGGCGAGGGCGGGTGGGCGAGGCCGGTCGAGCGAGGGCCGTCGAGCGAGGGCGTGGTCCTGCGACGGCGAGGGCGCACTCTCGTCCGCGAGAAGCACGAGCGGCGGACTGTATACGATCATCTGCAACGTATCCCTATTTCCTCACCCGCAGCTCGCGCTCTCGAGAGTCTGAGAACGACGAGACCCAGCTTGAGAAGGCGAGAACGACATGCGACGATGCAATAGCGACAGGAAGAAGTAGGAGGTATCGATACACCGAGGAGGGGGTAAACAGCGTGGGAGAGAGAGAGAGTCTGTGCGTCTGCGCCTCGTCCAACGAGCGTCAAGCTGCGAGTTCGGCCGCTCCCTCCTTGTCGACGTCGCTCCTCTCCTTGCTCGGCGCCCTGCTCGGCCGCCGGCTCTGCTCGCCGAGCCTCGTCCGCCGCTCCTCCTCCTCGGCTCGTCGAAGGAGCTCCTGCGCGAACGGCGAGCGCGCTCGAAGCCGGGCGCCGTAGGCAAAGAGGACGAACGGGATGACGCTGACGAGGGTCCCGAGCCCCGCCGTCAGGCCCGAGGCGCCTCGAATCCCGAGCGTCTCGAACATCTGGCTCGTGAAGACTGTGTCGAGGAGGACGAGGTCAGTACAGTCCAGCACGAGGACGAGGTCCGAGAGCGAGGGACGCACGAGGAAAGACGGCGCCGACGATGTTGCGGACGAACGACATGGCCGACAGGGCCGACGACGCGTATAGCGTGTAGGCCTCGGCGACGTAGTTAAACGCAGACAAGTAAATCAGGTACAAGCCCCAGTAGAGGATCGTGATGCCGATCGTCGGCGCCATCCAGTGCACGAAGGAGTAGGAGGTGAAGCAGAAGATGAAGGCGCCGACGGGGACGCAGACGCCGCCGACGAACGCCGTGTACAGGCGAGCCTCGGGCCCGCGCTTGGCGACGTTGGCGTGGTAGAGCCGCTGGCAGTACCGGTCGACGACGATGCCGATGATGCCGCCGAGGAACTGGGTGATGTAGATGAGGCCGGCCTCGCCCGTGCTGAAGCCGTAGACCTTGGTGAAGACGTAGGGGATCGAGACGAGGAACAGGTCTGCGAGCGTCGTCGTGGAAGAAGGTCAGCGACGGTGTCGAAAGGCGAGAAGGCGAAAGAGAGAGAGAGAGACGGGGAGAGAGAGAGAGGGGGGGGAAGAGAGAAAGAGCGAGCGACGCACAGAGGACGCCCCAGGCGAAAGAGATGAACGCCGTCATGGCGATGAGGACAGGCTCGTGCAGGAGCATCTTGACCGGCCGACCGAGGCTCGTCCTCATCATCTGCCGGATGCTCCCCCGCTCAAAGTCGTCGCGCGACACGTACCGCTCCTCGCCCGTCTCTTTGCGCAGCCTGGCGGCCTTGCGCGAGAGGAGGACCGACGCGCGCGTCTCCTTGAGGAGGAGCGGGAGGACGGCGGCGAACGCGGCCGACATGGCGAACAGGACCCAGCTGACGGCGCGGAAGCCCTTGATCTGGGCGAGGTAGCCGAACACGACGGGGCCGATACCGGTTGCTGCATGGGCGGGAGGGCTGTCAGCGAGTGCGCGACGAGAGGCAGAACTCGCGGGTCGAGGTGCGCTCGCCTCGCGAACGCTCGTGAGGGAAAAGGAAAAGAGGCAGGGACGCACCGCCGAACGCCGCAAAGCTGAACAAGGCCATCGGCGTCCCTCGCTCGTCGGCGCGCCAGACGTCGGCGATGGTGCCGCCGACGAGCGACACGGCGGTCGAGCCGGCGCACCCGCTGATGAAGCGCGCGACGAGCATGGTCGCGATGTTGGGCGCGAGGGCTTGCGGGATGAAGAAGAGGGCAAAGACGATGGCCGACCCGAGGTAGATGCTCGAGCGGCCGTACACCTCGGAGAGTGGCGCCAGGAGGAGAGGGGCGGCCTGTAGACGAGCGGCAACGAGGCCAGGGTCAGTGACCGGGCTCTGCACGTCCACGCGGGATCGAGAGAGAAAAAAGATCGCGACGCACACCGAACGAGAGGGTGTACATCGTGACGCCGAGGAGCGACAGCTCCTTGCTCGTGTGCAGCTCGTTCTCGACCGAGACGGCCGCGATCGAGTACGCAGAGACCGAGATCGAGACGACCGAGCAGAAGGCGATGCCGACGCTGCTGATCATCCACTGCGAGGGCGAGGGCGAGGCGAGGTCGAGACGAGGCGGGAGGGAGGGGGTTTGGGAAGGTCAGTCTGGCGTGCGCTCAGACCTCGCCTCGACACGGACTCACTTTTCGCCGCTTGCTCCAGTTGAACGGGTTGGCCGGATCGCTGCACGGAGAGAGAACGCGAGGAAAAGCGAGGTCAGCATTGACTCACCCGCGCGCGGCCGACGGCGCGCCCGGCAAGCTCGACGACGACGAGAGGAGAGCGAAGTGGGGACGGACGCACTCTGGCCCGTCCCACTCGACCCAGACGACGTGAGGCGGCGCGCACTCGTCTGCGACGTCCCGCGGGTCGACGACGTCGAGGCGCGAGGTGCGCGAGGCGCGCGAGGTGGCCTTGTGGAGGTCGTCCAGCGGGGCGGCTGCCGGCGACTCGTCGAGAGCGCGAGGAGCAGAGGCGGACATTGTCGCGGCGCCGCTCTCGTCGACGAGCGTGTGGACGGTCGAGGTCTGCGAGGGCGGATCTGGCGGCTGGGCTCGAGCCATCGAGGAGCGACGCAGAGGAGCGAGGGCAAAGCAGCGTGGAGCTGGAATCCGCTGAGCGAGCGCTTGAGCAGTCAAATGCTTCGGCACGATCGCGGCACGGCCGACAAGAGTGGGAAGCTAGAAAGGGGGAATCGCCAAAGGGTGCCGTCGACCAGCCGGTTTCGATCTGGGCCGGCAGAGGTGCTCGCGCCTCGCGGCAAGAGCGGGCGTGCAGCGCTGCTCGATGCGCAGGTCGCTGAGCCAGGTGGCGACTTGTCCGTCGCAGTGAACATTCTTCGACTCTGCTCGGACACGGACGAGAGGAGCGGCGCACGGCGCGGGACGGAGAGGAGATGAAAGGATGCGAGTTGCGAAGGATGCGAGGGGCGAGGAGCGGGGGGCTACACGAGGAGTACAGACAGGTAGAGTAGGATAGTGTCGATCTAGAGGGAAGGGAGGGAGAGGGAAAAGGGAGCAAGGTGCACCCTCACTCGCGCACGACGAGGTCGTTCTCCTCGACGACCCGCAGCGCCTGCGACCGCGCGACGAACCCGACGCACGTCTCGTACACGTAAAACATGGCGGCCGCGTTCGGGATGACGCGCAGCAAGTGGGCGCTCATGCCGCCGTACAGCGCCCTCCACCCTTCCTCGGCGAGCACGCGCCGGAACGACTGGGCGAGCGACGTGTACCGTGCCGAGCCGCCGTGCGGGATCGGCTGGCGCAGGCGCGTGCGCACCACCTCGTGCGGGTACGTGATGACGGTCGCGACGAGTTTTGCCGAGCCTGCGGCCGCGCTCGTGCGCCACGACGCACCGGCGGCGGGGTCGTCTGGGCGGGTCGAGTCGACGCGGGCGAGGACCTTGAACTGCTCGTAGAGGGACCACTGGATCGTGCCCTCTGTGACGCCGAGGAGGGACGCGCTCAGGCCGCGGTAAAAGCCGCGCACGCCCTGCACGCGGTAGATCTGGAGCGCGGTCGAGAGCGACGTTGGGCGCGCGGGCGGGCCTTGCATGGCGCCCGGCGGGGACGACAGGGAGCGGAACGAGTGCGAGAAGACTTGCTGGTGGGGTTTGGGCGCGGGAGGAGGGGGTGGCGGTCGTCGAGGCGAGGAGGAAGAGGAAGAGGTGGGCTTGGCCGCCTTGTGCTCCTGCTGGCGCAGCTGCATGTCGGTCTTGACGACCCATATCGGGTTGGTCGCCGCCGCCGTCGCGACGCCTGTTGAGAGGGGACGCAGTCAATGACGGCACGTCACGAGGAGGTCAAGGCGGGACGAGGGACGGACCTGCGGTCGCGGCCGCCGCGAGGTGCACGGCCGTGTTCTCCTGGCCGTGGTTGAACAGGTCGGCGTACAGGACCTTGCCGTTGCCGTACACGAAAAAGTTGATGGATCTGGGGCGGGCGGGGCGAGGAGGAGTCAGCTTGAAGCGCTCGAGGGGGAGAAAGGGGGAGGGGGAGAGGACGGGCGAGGCGCACCGTGCGGGTACTGCACCAGCGAGGGTCGGCCCGAGGCCCTTGAAGAGTGCTGCTGCGCCCTCGAACTTGTACACGTCGCTGCAAGGGGAGGAAGGCTCGTCAGTCGCGAGGGGAAGGTGGCGGGGGAGGGGGCGAGAGGAGCGAGCGAGGGGGACGGACCGGAGGATCTTGCCCGTGTCGACAAAGTTGTACAGGAGGGCCCTGAGGCCGGTGCGGGTGGACGTGTCGGCGACGCGGGCAAAGAGGTCGCTCTGGAGGCGCGTCTTTACGACGTCAAAGGGGGCGGTGACAATGGCTCCAGCCATGCCGCCGAGGCTGCGTGCGAGAGAGTGGGATCAGTCGATGGGTCGTGGGAGAGTCCAAGGAGAGAGTGGACGGACCCTCCTGCGACGAGATGGACTGCCGGTGGGGGTTTCGAGCGGTTGACCTTGGAGGCGGGACGAGGAGGAGGCGGAGGGGCAGCGGCTGGCGCTGGGGCGGTGGGTGTCGCCATGGGCCGGTCGGTGTGGGCACTGGATGCGCTGTGGCAGCAGGTGCGGATAGCAAGCAGGATAGAGGGAGAGAGATGAGGACGCTCTCGTCCCCGAGGCAGGCGAGCTCGTCGGCGGTCGACCAAGGCGCGACCCCCGCTCAGCTCCACCGCACTCGACCAAAGGTCCAGCTCTGCACAGCCATGGCTCTCAAGATCCCCCAGGGCGGCGCCAACCTCTTCAAGGAGGGCTACAACGCGAGTCCCGCTCTCTCTCTCCCCTCCCTCGTCGTCGCCTCCTCCTCATCAGCTCGAGCGCGACTCGCACCCCAGCACCTCCTCTGGGCCTTGGCGCGACCCCCATTAGCACTCGAGCACCACCACTGACCATGATCCCGCCCGCCAACAGATGCACTCGGGCATCGACGAGGCCGTCATCCGGTCCGTCTCTCACTCCCCCTCCTCCTCCTCCGCCTCCCGCGACACCCGACACCCGGAAGCTAACCCGCGCACCCACCGACAGCAACATCCACGCCGTCGCCGAGCTCGCAGAGATCGTCCGCACGTACGTCGCGCCCCCTTCCTTTCCCACCTTCCTCAGGACCACGACGAGCTGACCCGTCGCAACGCGTCCCTCTCACAGCTCGTTCGGTGCGCCCCGCGCTCTCGTCCCCTCCCACTCTCACCATCCCCTTAACCTAGACTGACGCCTCGCGCGCACAGGCCCCAATGGCCGCAACAAGATGGTCATCAACCACCTCGACAAGCTCTTTGTCACGTCCGACGCGGCCACCATCATCCGCGAGCTCGAGGTCGTCCACCCGGCGGGCAAGGTCCTCGTCATGGCCAGCCAGCAGCAGGAGCACGAGGTGCGCCCCCAACGCTTCCTCCCTCCGTCTCCCTCCGCTCGGCGGACGCTCGCTGAACCTAAACCCGCGCCAACTCGCAGATGGGCGACCGCACCAACCTCGTCCTGATCCTCGCCGGCGAGCTCCTGCGCAAGGCCGAGTACCTCCTCACCATGGGCCTCCACCCGTCCGAGGTCGTCCTCGGGTACGAGCTCGCGCGGGATAAGGCTATCGACGAGCTCGAGAGTGCGTCCCCCCCCCTCTCTCCCTTCCCTTCCCTTCACTTCTCGCGCACGCGACCTGACTCGCCGGATTTCACGCCCTCGCAGAGCTCGTGTGCCGCACGCTCGAGACGCCCCTGACGCAGGAGAGCCTCACGCTCGCGCTCCGTCCGACGCTCGCCGCCAAGCAGTACGGCTCCGAGGACCTCTTGTCGCGCCTCGTGTCCGAGGCCGTCATGGCCGTCATGCCCAAGGACCCGCGTGCGGTGCGTCCCCCGCCCCTGTCGAGCCGGCTCGAGAGGCGCGAGAGGACGGACCCTGACTGACATGCGCCCACGTCGCACACCCCGCAGTTCAACGTCGACAACGTGCGCGTCGTCAAGATCATGGGCGGCGGGCTGAGCCAGAGCCGGGTCATTCGCGGCATGGTGTTTGGGCGCGAGCCGGAGGGTGCGTCCATCCTCTCCCTCTCTCTCTCTCTCTCTCCCTCGGGCCCTCGACGAGGACCGTCCCGGACTGACACCTCGGACGACGAAACAAACAGGCACGGTGCGCAAGGCGACCAACGCCAAGGTCGGCGTCTTTACGTGCGGGATCGACATTGCCCAGACCGAGACCAAGGGCACGGTCCTCCTCAAGAACTCGGACGAGCTGCTCAACTTTTCCCGCGGCGAGGAGCAGCACATGGAAAAGATCTTCCAGGAGCTCGCCGACTCGGGCCTCAACGTCGTCGTCGCCGGCTCGTCGGTCGGCGAGCTCGCGCAGCACTACCTCAACCGGCACAACATCCTCGTCGTCAAGGTCCTGAGCAAGTTTGACCTGCGCCGCCTGTGCCGCGTCGTCGGCGCGACCCCGCTCGCGCGCCTCGGCGCCCCGACACCGGACGAGATGGGCCGCTGCGACGTCGTCGAGACGGTCGAGATTGGCGGCGACCGCGTCACCGTGTTCCGCCAGTCGGACGACGAGACGACGCGCACGGCGACCGTCGTCGTTCGCGGCGCGACGACCAACCACATGGACGACATTGAGCGCGCCATCGACGACGGCGTCAACGTCGTCAAGGGCGTCCTCAAGGACGCGCGCCTCGTCGCGGGCGCGGGCGCGACCGAGCTCGAGCTCGCAAAGCGCATCGCCGACTTTGGCGAAAAGACGCCCGGCCTCGCGCAGCACGCCATCAAGCGCTTTGCCGACGCGCTCGAGGTCGTCCCGCGCACCTTGGCCGAGAACGCCGGCCTCGACGCGACCGACGTCCTGAGCAAGCTGTACGCGGCGCACCAGGCCGACGACACGGGCGCGGTCGGCGTCGATGTCGAGGTGCGTCCCCCATCTCTCTCTCTCTTTCTCTCGGACCCGGCGCGAGAGACTGACATCGCCCGAGCGCATCCTGCAGGGCGAGAACGGCGGCATCCTCGACGCGCCGGCGGCCGAGATCTACGACCTCCTCGCCGCAACTCGGTGGGCTCTCAGGTACGGCGTCGACGCCGCCATCTCGGTCCTCCGCGTTGACTCGATCATGTGCGTCCCCCTCTCCTCTCCCTCTCTCCCTTTCCTTCTCTCATCTGCGCACCTCTCGCTCTCTCTCTCGCTCTCGGAGCGCGCAACTGACTCGACTTTCTCCTGGCCTCGCAGCATGAGCCGCGCCGCAGGTGGCCCGGCACCGCCCAAGCAGCAGGGCAACTGGGACGAGGACTGAGCGGGACGGGCGCGAGCTTGTTGGACCAGCACGATGACGAAGCCTCTCTCTGTACCATCTCCCACCCTTTGCAAAAACGCATCCGTAGACTGTCTCTGCGCGTGCGGGTAGCTCGAGCGGGACGAGAGCGAGAGCGAGAGCGGCGAGCGACTGGAGCCGGATCGGGGCGAAGGAAAAGTCGAGGGCGCAGGGTTGCATTCCAGAGAGAGGGGAGGGGGCGATACAAGCAGGCCGGGTGTGACGACATGAGGACATGCTGGATTATGCGATTGAGGCATGCAGAGGGAGAGAGGGAGAGAGGGAAAAGGGAAAGTCGAGGCAACGTCCATCTCGGCGCCGTCCTCGTCTGCGCCGAGCCCACCGCTCCAACGTCGGCTCTCGCTCGCCAAAGAGCTCACGCTCACGCTCACGCGAGGAGCGCGAAACCGCCGAGGACGGCCGCCGCTGCCGCGACGACGCCACCGGCCGGGAGCGCGAGTGCGCGCGCCGCACCGCTCGACGGCGACGCACCGCCGCCGCCACCGCCACCCGACGCCGGCGTGTTGTTGCCGGCCGTCTGCGTCGCGTTGACGAGCTGGTCGGCGATCTCGGGGCTCCAGCAGTCTGTCGGGGAGGGAAACAAGAGTCAGTCGCCGTTGGGAACAAGGTGCGCACGAGCCCCTGAGAAGGACGGAAAGGAGGACGCACAGCGGTTGAGGCACGCCTGGCACGCGTCGGTACGAGCGACGCCGGCACGCTGGCGCGCACGGTCGACGACGGCGCACTTGAGGCACAGCGGCCACTGCTCGTCGGGCTGGGTCGGCGTCGAGGGGTCCGGGTACCCGCGCTTGGCGTACAGGTTGGCGGCGTCGAGGAACGAGATGGTCTCCGAGTCTTCGTACGAGAGCTTGAACGTGCTGTAGTTGGTCGCGCCCGGGTTGGCGCCGGCCGAGTTGGGGTGGTCTGCGGCGAGGGAGGAGAGGGTCAGGCTCGGCTCGGCTGCGGCTGCGGCTGACAAGGCGAGCTCGACGCACAGATGATGATCGGATAGTTCGAGTAGTTGCCCATGTTGGCGTCCGAGATGTTGCAGCCCTTTGATTGGAGCAGGCGGGTCAGTGCGGCTGTCGGACAAGGAGAGAGAGGGCAAGAGTGCACGCACGAAGAAGGTCGGGCGCGTCGTCAGGCCCTGGTCGACAAACTCCTGCTGGTTGTGCGGGATGTCGGGGAAGCCTGCGCATCAAGGAAGTGAGTCAGATCGGGGCCAGAGGAGGAAGGAGGAAGGACGAGGGACGGACGCGTGTAGTTGTGGGCGTGCAGCTCCACCTTCTGCGCCGTCGCGACGAGCGACGTCCCGTTGGCGTACGTCTCGCTCGTGTCGGCCGAGCCGTCGACGGCAAAGATGGCGTCGAGCGCACGGGCCTTGGCGAGGAGGGGCATGAGGGGCACGTTCTGGCCGTCCTCGCCGCCGTCCGTCACCTGGAGGATCTGCTCGCCGGCTGATTCGAACGAGTAGCCCGTGTCGGGCGTAAAGTTGCCAAAGCTGTTCGGGTAGTTGGCGACGAGCTGCGCGAGGTGGAGAGACCGAGTCAGTTCAAGAGGTCCGTGCGAGGAGAGGGCTCGAGTGGTTAGGGGCAGCTGGACGTACAGCGACCGAGCCCTCGGGCGGGTCGAGGTCGGTGACGGCCTGGAGCAGGTTCGACAGGAGCGACGAGAAGGTGGCGCCGACAAAACCCTCCTGGACGGCGTTGAACAGGCTGGCCGAACTCTGCGCACGACGTCGGGACGAGGGTCAGTCGGCCTCGCTCGACGCAGGGAAGGAGAGAGAGAGGGAGGTGGGACGCACGCCCATGGCGAAGCCCGCGTTGTCAAAGTAGTTGACGCAGCGGTTGGTCGGCTGGCCGTTCGACAGCTGGGTGCCGAGGTACTCGAGCGGGATGTAGGCGGCGAGGGTCGCCTCGAACGAGCCAAACGTGAACGGCGAGATCTCGAAGCCCGTGTTCTCGAGCGGAATGACGGACGTCGAGTCGTTGGTGAGCTGCTGGTTCTCGTTGATGCGCGACGTCGTGGCGAGGATCGGGTACGGCATCTGGCCCGACTGGAACGACGTCGTGTACCGGATCGACGAGAAGAGCGTGCCCTGGTCGTGTGCGGCGTCGGTGCTGAAGAAGTTGTCCTCGGTCGTGCCGTTCAGGAAGTGGTAGGCGAGGGCGCGTCCCCAGAGGTCCGTGATCGAGATGGGGAAACCGGCCGCCGCCTTGGCCCTGACGTCCTCCTCCAGGCTGTCGTAATAGTTCCCGTTGTCGCTGAAGCCGAGCAGGCCACTCGGGGCGAGGATGTCGCGGTCGAGCTGCCACCCGCCGGTCCTCGAGCTGTTGGCGCCGGTAACGAGCGAGTAGATGGGCTCGAGGTCGTTCAGCGCGACTGACGTGACGGTCCACGAGCCGCCCGACAGGCCGGCGAGGTACGACGCGAGCTGGAGGAGCGGGCCGGCCGTGCTCGAGTTGCGGCCGTCGAGGGCCGAGAGGGTGCCGGCGCCGTACAGCGACGCGCGCAGGCCGCCGCCCGAGATGGCGATACCGCTGTGGGGAGGATAGTGTGTCAGTGTGTCCGTGACGCGAATAGGAAGGACGCAAGGACTGCGGCAGGAGCGTGGAGGAGGAAGAGGGAGAGGAAGAACGAGGCGGGACGCACAGGTTGGGCTGGCCGCCAACGATCTCGGACGCCGAGTAGCCCGTCGAGCCCGTCGCGTTGTCGTTGAGGTACTGCTGCCACAAGTCGGGGAGAACATTGTTGCGGCGGTTGTCGATGTACTGCTGCTCGTCGGGCGGCAGGGTCTGGTTGCCGCGAGTCGGGTCGCCGAGGCGGCCGATGAGCGCGGCGGACGGGCAGTCGACGCGGATCGGGGCGTCTGCGGAGGGAGCGACAGAGTTAGTGGTGCTGTAGTGGACCCTCGGAGCGAGGTTGCTCGGTCCCGACGTTGCCCTCCCGGGATGCCTGCTCGACCGTCACCACCGCCCGTACGACCTGCGCCCGCCGCTGTGCTCCGACAAGAAAGCCCAGCAGCTGCCACAGACGTGCGCGGGCGACTGGAGGCGAGCTCGAGGCGAGCCCGAGGTGTGTCGAGGCCGAGGTGGAGCTGGGTGGAGGAGCTCGGCGGGGACGCGACGTGAGCTCACACGACGGGGCCTGGGCGGCGGCGAGCGCAGCGGCAGCGACGACAAGGGCAGCTGACTGGAGCATGCTGGCGTCGAGGCGGTGTGAGAGGAGCGAGAGGGAGAGCGGCGGGACCGAGTTCCAAGCCGAGCTGCGAGCGCTCCGCTCAGCGAGGTCGTTTCCCCGCTCCATCCGAGTGCAGATCGCACGAGCTCTGAGTGCGGTGTCTCGGCGCCGACCGTCGCTCGCTCGATTGCGCGCGAGCTGGTCGACCAGCGCCCGCACCGCCTCGCGCCGCGAGCTGCAGCTGTGCAAGGCGGCACCTCTCTCTACGAATGCTGCATGGCGATGCGGTCGAGCACACTGCTCAGCCGCGCAGCTCGCTCGCTCTCGGCTCGCCCGTCCACGCGCTGGACCGCGCCGCCGCCGACCCCGCTCGCCTCCCGGCCGAGGGTCGTCGCCCACTCGATGCGCTCTTTCTCGTCTCCCACCACGGCGCCGCGACCTGCTAGCATGCCCAAGCGTATCCCTGTTTGGCTCGACTGCGACCCGTGCGTCTCTGCCCCTTCCCCTGCTCCTCCCCCCACCGCAACGACAAGCTGACTCGTCGCTCCTCACAGCGGCCACGACGATGCCGTCGCCATCCTCATGGCGCTACAGCTGCCCGACATCGACCTGAAGGGCATCTCGTGCGTCTTTGGCAACGCCTCGCTCGACAACACGGTCACCAACGCCGCGCGCTGCCTCGTCGCGTTCGGGTCACCCGAGCAGGCGCAGCGCACGCCAATCTACGCCGGCGTGGCCAAGCCCCTCATCCGCCTCGTGCGGCACGACGACGAGATCCACGGCGAGGACGGCCTCGGCGGCGTCGAGGGCCTCCCGGCGCGCGACGACCCAGCCGTCGTCGCCAAGCTCGACGAGACGCGCGGCAAGTCGGCCGTCCTCGCCATGGCCGACGCGGCGCGCTCGCTCCCGGACGGCGAACAGCTCGCGCTCGTCGCGACGGGCGCCATGACCAACGTCGCCTTGTTCGTGTCCATGTTCCCGGACCTCGTGCGCGACAAGGTGGCCCAGGTCGTCGTCATGGGCGGCGCAGAAGGGCGAGGGAACCGCTCGCCGACGGCCGAGTTCAACATCCTGATCGACCCGCACGCCGCGAGCATCCTGTTTGACGCCGAGGTGCCCGTCGTCATGGCGGTGCGTCCGCCCTCTTCTTCCTCACTCGTCTTCCAAGCCCAAGCCCGCGAGATCTGACCCTCGCGGACCGACAGCCCCTCAACGTCACCCACACGGCCCTCTTCCGCCCACACGACAACCACAGCCTCCTCGTCCCTCCCTCTGCGCTCCCTTCCCTCCCCGAGACGACGCCCGACGCGACCGCCTCGCCCTCCAAGGCCCACACGCCCCTGCGCCACACGCTCTCGACGCTCCTCACTTTTTTCGCCAAGACGTACGCCGACGTGTTTGCGTTCGACGAGGGCCCGCCCGTGCACGACGCGCTGTGCATCGCGTACCTTGCGCGCCCGGACTTGTTCAAGGGCAAGCGGTACAGGGTCGACGTCGAGCTGCAGGGCGAGCACACGACGGGCACGACGGTCGTCGACCTGTGGGAGTACAAGAAGGACGAGCTCGTCGAGTGGAAGAAGGACCCGGACAGCCGGGCGAGCTGGGGACGGTTCGGCAAGAACGTGTTCGTCCTCGAGGAGCTCGATGTGCGTCCGACTCTCTCTCTCTCTCTCTCGTCCTCTCGAGTCTGTGACCGCGAGCTCTGATGGACGCGAGCACGCAGGTTCCCGAGTTCTGGAAGCTCTTTCAGCAGACGGTCGACGCGGCCGACAAGGTCTCGCCGCTCAACGCGCAGAAGTAGAAGGGGACGCGTTACAGTGTTGAACAAGGAGATCTACACGATCGTGTGACGAGAGAAGGAGAGGAAAGAGAGAGAGAAAGAGAGGGGGACTAGCTCGTGAGGAAGAGGCGCGAGAGAGGACGGTCCCGCTCGGCCGTCGAGCGTTGCCGGCGGCTCGAGACGCCGTTGCGCAAGTCGCGAATCGCCGTGTCGAACTGGCCGCGACCGATCGAGTTGCTGCCGCTCGAGGACGGCGACCCAGGGCTGAGCGAGGCGGCCTGTGACGACGAGCGAGGTCAGCTCTCTAGCTGGCGCTGCAGAAGGAGACGGAGAGAGAGAGGAGGAGAGACGCACAAAGTACGACTTGCGCGACGAGGTGGGCGGTGTTGTCGGTGGCGGTGTAGGCGAAGGCTGGAGGGGCTTGAGCGACGCCGCCTTCTTCTGACGCTCGACCTCGGCCTTGGCGTCGGCCGCCTGCACCTCGGCGTCGGCGCGCTGCAGGTAAAGGACGGTGTCAGGGTCTTGCTTTGAGCGCATCGAGGAGGGAGGGGAGCGAGCGGCGTACCCGAAGCAGGGACGCGAACTGCGCGACGAGGTCGAACAGCTCCTCGGGCTTGGCCTGCGCCGGGTCCTCGCCGAAGAAGAGAAGCAGGTCTCGCAGCTCATCGGCGACGGCTGAGCCGTAGCTCGAGAGGGCAGACATGGCGGGCGAGGCGTGTCGGACGAATTGCTGCGACGACGGCGAGGCCGGGTCAGTGACGGCGAGGGGCTCGAGACGATAAGGGGCGTCGGACGCACCTCCATGACCGTGACGAATCGGTCTTGTGGCGACATGGTGCTCGGCGTCTGCTTGAGGATGTCGAGCTCCTGCTCGGCCTGGGCCACGCCGGCGACGAGCGCTTGGACCGTCTCTTGCACCGTCGAGCTCGAAGCTGCAAAAGCAAGGTGTCAGTGACAGGCGGTGGTACGAGTGGTACAGGTGCGAGAGACGACGCACTCCTCGATGCAGCTTCGACGTGCGGGAGGTCGTCCAAGAGGGCCAGCAGCGACGGGTCTTGGCGGCGAACAACTCGGACGACGTAGTGCAGTAGGGTCGGCGTGTCGGTCGAGCCGCTCGCGGTGCGGACATCTTGCAGCTGCGGGTCGAGAGAGGGCCGGTCAGGGTCATGTCCTCGAGCAGAAAGAGAGGGTCCGGGCGCACCTTGAGGAGCGAATCGAGTGAGAAACCGGCCGCGCCGCCTCGGAAAGTGCCGCGGTTGAGCGAGTTGCCGATGGCGAGGACGACTTGCAGAAGAGCTTGGAAGCGGTTCGAGGTGCGCAACTCGCCGCACGCAGCGCGCAAGATCGACAGGTCGGGCTTGAGCTCCTCCATGTCCATGTCGAGCCGACGCCGGTACAGCATGGCCGAGAGACGCTCGTCGAGGCGAGGAATAGTCGAGATCTGCGTCGAAAGTGGCGTCAGGAGGCGGCTCGTCGAGCACTTCGAGCGGACGGTGCGCACCTCGAGGAAGTACTGGTCGGGCGCGGCGAGCGTCTTGATGTCGCCGTCAAAACTCTTGAGGGCCGCGATCTGTGAGCGGTAAAAGTCAGTCACGCTCGGCCACCCGTACGAGGGAAGTGAGGGACGCACCTCCTCAGCGGTCGGCGCCTGGTGCTTGATCGCCTTGAGGTTGTCGACCGACAGCTTGGCGTCGTCCAGCTCGACAATGGCGCTGCGGATCGTCGCGTGCGGTAGACGAAGCCTCGCGAGCATGATGGCTGCGGTGACGCAGCCTGTCAGGGCCGAACGCTCAAGGCGAAGAAGGGACCGAGGGAGGGGGACGCACCGACGTTCTGAGCCCGCGTGTTGCCGAGCAAGCTCGTTGCCGCCTGCTTCTTCTTGACCTGCGCCTCGACGTTGGACTCGCGAACGAGCGGTGGGCCGACCGCAAACACCTTGTCGAGGTCGCCGAGGTCGAGCGGCGCGACCTCGCTTTGCGACCAGATGGACGTCCCGACACGGCTCGGCGGCAGCTTGGTCCAGAAGAACGGCTGCAAGGAGAGCCAAAAGTCAGGTACAGTCCGTGAGAAGAGATGAGACGAGGGGAGAGAAAGAGAGGCGGCGCACTTTCATCTTCTTGGCCGGCGCCGACGGCTTGGCGACGAGGCGACGGACGACGGGCGACGGCGACGCCAACGAGCCTTTCGGCCCCGGCGGTGGTGGCGGTGGTGGTGGCGGACTCATGGATGATGACGGAGGCGCAGGAGCAGGTGGCGCTGGCGGTGGTTGGGGCGCCTCGGGAGGAGGTCGAGGCGAGGGTGGACAACGCGCACGAGCCGCTTCTTGTGCTGCGCTCGCGGCTGCTCCGGTGGTGGGCGGTGGTGGCGGAAGAGGACATGATTGACCGGGAGGTGGTGGTGGTGGCGGTGGCGGCGGTGCTGGTGCAGGAGGAGCCGCGGCGGGAACGGTAGGCGAAGGACGGCCGACAGGCGGCGGCGGAGGAGGAGGAGGTGGTGGAGGAGGTGATGGAGCGAGAGATAGTAGAGGAGGTGGCGGTGGGGGCGGTGGTGCAGGGGGAGGGGCGGCGGTAGCTGCAAGGGCGGTTGGCGAGGGACGGGACGACGCCGCGGCCGACGATGAGCCCGGCGGGAACGGCGCTCGACGGGCAAAGACGGGTGTCGCCGTACGCGCCTCGACGAGATCTTGCCGGGCTGCGTCGAGCTGCGCCTTGAGGACGGCGATCTCCTGGTCGCGCTGGCTGAGCGCCTCGAGCGTGCGAGTCGCGAGCAGCTCGTGGTCGTCGACGGCCGGCGGCGACGCAGCTTGACCTGGTACTGCGAGGGCGGTGGCGACGGACGACTGGAAGCGCGAATAGACCGACTCGAGCGTGCGCTTGAGGAACTTGATCTCCTTGTTGCGGGCCTCGAGCTCGGTGTCGAGGTCGGCGATCTGTGCGGCGAGACGGGTGAGTGGCCCGCTCAGGAGACGAAGGACGATGCTCAGGACGCACCTTGACCTTGCTCTGCCCGATCTCGCCGAGAAGCGCCTCCCACCGGCGGTTCTGGCCCGCACGGTCCTTCCTCGCCTCCTCCTCGCCCTGCGCCGACCGCACACCGCCCTCGAGCTGCGCCCGCAAGTCCATGACCTCCTTCTCCTTCTGCACGAGACGCTGGACGACACCGGCAAAGTTCTGCGGCGGGAAAGAGATGCGTGAGTGAGATCTCGAGTTTGAGAAGGCGCGAAAGAGCAGGCGGGCGGGGCGCACCTCCTTGTCGCCCTTCCTCAGCTGCGACCCTCGCGGTGACTGTAGGCGCGTGAGAGACAAGGTCAGGGCACGTCGAGGCAAGGGGAGGAGAGGCTCGAATGGGACGCACCCGCTCGCCCGGCTCGACCTGCCGCTCGGACGGCAGGGCCCGGAGCGTGTTGGTCTCGGCGATCTGCGCGTCGAGCTCCCGCCTGAGAGCGGTGCGCTCCTCGGACAGCTCGTCGACTTGCGCTCGAAGGCCCTCGAGCTCGTCGAGAAAGCTCGTCGGGACGCTCGCCGTGTCGGCGACTCGAGACGACCGGATAAGCGACTGCTGGCCGACGATGTGGACGATGCTCGACAGGTACTGCCGCATGAAGACGCGCCATCCATGATCAAAGTCCTCGAGGTGCGCGGCGTGGTCGACAAAGTTGTGGAGGACCGTGATGAGGTCGTCGCGGAGGCGGCTGCGGGGCGGCGAGAGCGAGTCAGGGTGTGGCCTTGCCGGGCAGAGTGTCGCAGAGAGACAGGGACGCACTCGTCGATGTCCTGGCGCTCAAAGACCTTGATGTAGCCGCGCATCGTCTCGACGAGTCGCGGGAACAGGTCCGAGTGTTCCTGCGCGAGCTTGATGAGCTCGCCGAGCGGGACGTCCGACATGCTGCGGGACGACGACGGGTCAGTACGAGGGAGGCTGCAGATGGGGGAGAGAGAGGGACGCACTCGTCGCGAGATCGGCCGGCCGTCCGCTCGTGCAGCTCTTCCTGGTCCTCCTGGCGCTCCTCGACGTAGACGTTGAGCTGGCGCAAGAGCGCATCTGGCGGGTCGACGTAGCGCAGGCCCTGCATCGCTTCGTTGATCCCTCGACGGGCAAACTCGTCGCGGGTCGTCATGCGCTCCTCGAGGTCGTGCGGCGAGTTGGCGAGCGCGTTGACGAGCGACATGGCCGCTGTGCGCCACTCGAAGAAGCTCGCCTCGTCGGCGTCGTCGTCCTCGTCGACGCCCGACAGCACGCTCGAGCCGTCGATGGTGCGGTCGTCCGGCTGGTCGACGACCTTGATGCGGTCGACGAGCCACTCGAACCGGAACCTCTCGCCGTGGTCGAGGCGAGCGTCGGAGAAGGCGGACAGGACGAGTCGACGAGCGTCGTGCGAGAGGAGGCACATGGCGGCGAGGACGTCGGCGACGAGGGAGCGCAGCTTGAGGGACGGCGAGTAGATGCTGAAGACGACCGAGGTGACGAGGGTCGGGCGGGCGACGACGCGAGAGAAGCCGATCTGCCGACGCGACGAGCGGGTCAGTATGGAGGGGGACACGGGAGAGAAGGAGAACGAGGGGACGCACGTCGGTGTTCATGAGGGCACGCAGGCAGCGCACGCACTCGACCTGGACCATCTTGCCCTCCTCGCTCGTCGCGACGACGGCGTCTTTGCTCGTCTTGTGAGCCGCCACCTTGTCGAGGAGCTCCTCGAGCGCTTCGAGGCCTTGCGCGTTGTCGACAAAGTCCTCGGTCCACGACAGCTTGGCCGTCGACAGGCGGACCCGGAGCGCGATCAGGTGCTTGGCGAGGCTGCGCTGCGTGATCTTGCTGGGGACGCACGAAGAGTCAGGTCAAGAAGAGGTCGGGAGAGGGAGTTGAGAGGAAGTGGACGCACGTCGAACGAAGCTGGTCCCGGTAGAACTGGGGCGAGTCCTTGGCCTGCTCGCTCGACGACGGCTGGCCGGTCCCGGTCGCGTGCGACGGCGACGACCACCACGACGTCCACGACGACGACGTGCCCGTCTCCTGGCTCTGGAGGTGTGGCGCAGCACCGCCGGCGTCTCGCTGCTCCGCGGGCGCAAACCGACTCGACGGGCTGGGCGCCGGCGCGCCGAAAGTCGTCGCGGGTCGAGCCGGTGTCGGCGACGGCTCCGAGTCGGCGTAACCGCCCCAGCCGACGCTGGCGAGCGAGAAGCGCTTGACGTTGCCGAGGAGGCTCGAGTCGGACGACGAGGGGGGACCGGTCGAGACTGGTCGGAGCGGCGCAGGCGAGGTGGTTTGCGAGGCGCGGTGCTGGGCGATGAGGAAGCGCTTGCGGTCGTCGGGAAGGTTGTGCATGGCGGCGCGTTGGGCGTCCTTGAGGCCGAGGTCGTCCTGTCGGGGGTGACGAGATCAGTCGAGGTCCGTGCGAGGAGGATCAGGGGCACGCGGACGCACCATGAGCTGCTCGAGAGCGGTCTGCAGACCCTCCTCGCTCCCCTCGTCCTCCTCGCGCTCGTCCTCCTCCTCGAGTTGGATCGCCGGGAGCCGCTGACCGGGCGTGAAGCTCGAAAAGCGGCGGCTCGCGTCCTGCGACAGCGCGACGGGCGCGCCGACGATGCGGCTGCTCGGGCGCGCAGGCGGCGACGGCGAGGTCGAGGTCGACGCCTCGGGCGCGATCCAGTCGGTGAAGAGCGCCGAGAGACGGGACCGGCTGCCCGCGCTCGAGCGGGTCGTGTCGGTCGCCGCCGCCGCCGCCAAGGACACTGCGCCGCCGCCCTTGTCCGCCTTGAGCGTGCCCTCGCCCTCCTCCTGGTCGCTCTCGCCGCCCGATGCCGCGTCGGGCACGTCCACCGCCGACGGCGCCACCTCGGCCGTGCCCAAAAGCAGCCCGCCGAAGAGGCTAGACGGCCGCCAACCGCCGCCCTCTCGGCTCGCGATGCTCCGGCGAACGCCGTCGCCGGACGTAGACGTCGACGACGAGGCGGCCGCGGCGGCGCTGGGTAGCGCGAGCGCGACCGTGCCGGCCTTCTTGAGCCAGGACGGCGAGATGGTGAAAGTCGCGAGGTAGGGCGGGTCGGCCTCGGGGCGTTGCGCCTGGAGGTGGGCGAGGATGCGTGTCGGCGTCGAGAGCGTGTGTACAGCTGTGCGGGACTAGGGTCAGCTGGGCGCGAGGGGAGAGAGGGAGGCTCAAGAGAGGCTTGGGCTCACCGCCGTCCTTGTCGCGAGCCTGGATGCAGTACTCGACGCGCGCCGACTTGTGGCCCTGGACTACAAACTTCTTGATCGCGAGCTCCTCGACGAGCGCTTCGACGGCCTCGCCCGCCGTCGTCTCGGCGCCGACAAAGAGCTGGACGCGCTGGCCCTCGGGCAAGCCGGGCACATGCTCGAACGTCACCTGGACGAGGTTGGGCGTGAACACGAGGCGCAGCGTCGGGGCATGCAGGTGGCTCGACAGGAGAAACTCGCTGAACTGGGTCGAGTCGTCGGTGCCGGCCGGGTAAGGCGCGGGAGGGGAGCCGGTCAAGGCGAGCGCCGCGCCGACGGTGAGGGTGGGCGCGAGCAGTCCTGTGTGAGTGAGCAAGGTCAGTGACTGTGCCCTGCGCCGTCCCTGCGCTGCCGCCGAGCACTCACGATCATCTGCGAGGAGGGCGAGGTCCTCATCGCTCAACTCGACGCCGCCGGTTGTGGGCGAGCTCTGGTACACGCGCTGGATCCGCCAGAGGGCGAGGTCATCTGCTCGAGGGTGCGCGCGACCGCAGACGGTGCGCTTGATCTGCTGGCCATCCTCGGCGAGGAGGGTGACGACGAGGGCTTGGAGCGAGTCGGAGACGGCGGCGAACGTCGCGTGCACCGAGGCTGCGCCGCCTGGGCCGGGCAGGGCCACTTGCACGAGCTGCTTGCTCATGTGGCGAGCAGAAGGAGCATCGAGCGACAGAAGCAGCTCGCTCCCCCTCGGCGAAGACAACGAGGCGCGTGCGCTGCGCGGGGGCGGACGAGGACAGTGCGCCTCGAGGTTGCAGTTCGACGCTGCTTTTCGCCGTGCTCTACAAGACTCTATCCACACAAGATCTACCTCTCCCACACACGCGCTCCATCAAGCGAACGAGTCGTGCGCCATCGTCGTCGCGTGCACCTCCGGGTGCTCGCGCTCGAACGCGAGCTCGCGCGCCCACTCCTCGGCCGCCACCTGCTCGGCGCGCTTCCTCCCGACGCCCGTGCGGCCGGTCGCCTTTGTGACGAGCGTCGACAGCCAGTCGGGGACGCGCAGGGGGACAAAGACGAGGTAGTAGGTGATGGCAATGTTGGACAGCGAGTAGGCGGCGAGGACGGCGAGCGACGTCCAGCGGTCGCCGTGCGAGATGTTGAGCGACGAGAGAAAGTCGTCGCCGGTGCTCATCGGGCAAAAGTCGCACGCCTCGGTCGCGTCGGGCGAGAGGAGGTAGCCGGCGTGCGTGCGCAGGTACTCGGCGGCATAGGTGGCGCAGCTGCGTGCGAGGACACGGGTCAGTACTGGCGCCGAGGTAGTGTGGCAGTGAGATGGGACGCACGTCGAGTCGGGCGGCGGGCGGAACGAGACGACCTCGAACCCGGCGCACTCGACCGGCTGGCCGTGCAGGAGGGCGCCGAGCATGGCGCGCACGTAGTGCTGGAACGGCGAAACCCAGTAGAGCCACCGGTAGTAGACGGGCATCTGGTGGTACGCGATGAGGGAGCCGTTGAACGCCTCCATGGCGACGAGGAAGAAGGGGAGGAGGTTGGCGACCGTGCCGAGCGACTGCGACAGGCACACGATCCACAGGGCCCAGGTCGACTGCGGCGCTCGAGAGAATCAGTGCCGCACACCGAGAGGCGAGAGGCAAAGAGAGGGGCGCACCTGGAAGAAGAAGAAGATCTGGATGAGGAGGAACGAGAACCCGATCGTCGACGCCTTGAACGGGAGCCCGACTGCGACCAAGAGAGAGAGAGGTCAGGGTCCTCGCTAGACACGCAAGAGACGAGGGGGGAGGGGGGACGCACCGAGGAAGTACCACAGGACAAAGTAGGCCGCGCCGCAGACGACCGAGTAGGGCACCTCGCTCACGAGCAGGCTCGTGACGAACGCCGTGCGGCCATAGATGCGGCTCGGGCGCTCTCGCGCCTCCCACAGGCCGCGCAGGGCGTGCACCTTGAAGATGATGGCGTTCATCCACACGACGGGGACGAACAGGAGGAGGAAGACGCTGAACATGCGGTTCTGGAACGAGACGATGGTGCGCTCGCGGCCGACGAGGAAGAACGACAGGCCGACGATGAGGGGCACGATCGTCGACGTGAACAGCTTGGTGTACGAGAAGCTCGGGTCGCGGTAGTAGTGCCGCGAGACGCGCTTGGTGAGGAGCGCGCACTGGCGCCAGACCGACGCCGACGGCGGTGGCGGCTTGCGCATGAGGCGAGTCGTCTTGTCGTCGCGCGTGTTGACCGGCGCGCCGAGCTGAACGAGCTCCTGCTTGACGGCGCTGCTCTCGGACGAGCTCGACCACCGCTTCGACAGGACGTCGAGGTCGTCCACCTCGCCGAGGTCCTCGTCCGGGACGTCGACGCCGGTCTTGCTCACGTCGAGGAGGAAGTCGGCCGGGTTGGTGAACGACGGCGCGTCGGCCTCGTTGACGTTGGGGTCGCGCGAGAAGTACGAGACGGCATCCTTGCGAGCGCCGAAGTAGACCTGCTTGCCGCCTCGTTGCAGCAGCAGAAGGTCGTCAAAGATGCCGAACGTCTCGGCCGACTGTGAGGGAGAACGAGAGTCAATACCGGACCGAGGCGCAGAGGGAGGGAGGGGGAAGGAAGACTCGCCGGCTGGTGGATGGTGCAGATGACAGCGAGGCCGGTCCTCGCGAGCCGGCGCAAGAGCTTGACGACGCGAAGCGCGCTCTTGGTGTCGAGGCCCGTCGTCGGCTCGTCGCAGAACAGGATGGCCGGGCGACTGACGACCTCGACCGCGATCGTGAGGCGCTTGCGCTGCTCGGCGTTGAGCCCGGCCGACGGCGTACCGATGATGGCGTCCTGGAGGTGCGACAGGTCGAGCAGGTCGAGGACGTGGTCGACGTAGGCGAGCTTGTCGGCGTCCGGGATCGAGGCGTCTTGACGGAGGAGGGCCGAGAACTCGAGCGCCTCGCGCACCGACGAGCGGTCGTCTGCGGGCGGCGCCCGTCAGTTTCTGCGCCTGTCCGAGTTCGAGGGGAGGGCAGTGAGACGCACCGTGAAGGTCAAACTGCTCGACGTAGCCCGTGTTGCGGTAAAAGTCGCTGTCGGGCGCGACGCCGTCGACCCGGATCGTCCCGCGCACGACGCCCGGGCTCCGGCCCGCGAGCGTGTTGAGCACTGCGCACACGTACAGAGGGTGAGTGTCGGCAACGGGTGGAGCGGTGAGGAGGAGGAGGAGGAGAGGCTGGACGCACGAGTCGACTTGCCGGCGCCGCTCGCGCCGAGGAGCGCACAGACCCTCCCGGGCTTGATGTAGCCCGAGACGCGGTCGAGCAGACGGCGAGTCTCGAGCTCGGTGTCGATCCACAGCGAGACGTTGTTCCACTGTGAGCGCGAGAGAGAATTGTCAGTCGAGTTCGAGTTTGGGAAGGTTCCGGAGTGAGAGAGAGGGGGACGCACCGCGAGCACCGACCCCTCGAGCTCGACCGGCTCGTCCTCGTCCTGCTCTGAGCCATACAGCGGCGTCCCATCGACGCTGCCCTCGTCCTCGCCCTCGTCGACGCCCCCCTCGCGCCAGTCGCGTCCCTCCTCCTCGTCGAGCAGCCGCATCTCCTCCGCCGACGGCCTCCTCGCCCTCTCCTGCCCCGCCGCACCGCGCCCGTTCTCGCCCCCTGTCGCCCCACCCCCACCCCCAGAACCGACGGCGCCCCGCTCGCCATAGTCGCCGCTCCCCCTCTCGCGCCTCCACTTGTCGCCAAACAGCCTCCTCTTGACCGCCCTCGTGCGGTTCCACACGCGCCTCGACCCACCGGGCGCAAAGTGCAGCACGTCGGTCGCCGCAACGCCGACGGCGAGAAAGACGGCGGCCTGGAGCGCGAGCACGCCGAGGTTTTTCCACACGCGCGCGTAGTGGAAATCGTACGCGAGCGCGAGGTACGTGTCGCCCGAGACGGCGAGGGACCCCGGGGTCGAGCCGGGGAGGGTGCACGTCTTGTACAGGTCCGACAGGGCGTCGTACGAGGGCCCAGAAGGGACGATGTCCGAGGGCGAGCAGGCGAGCGACAGGCCGTGGAACTCGTTGGCGAGGACCGCCTGCGGGACGAGGGGTTTGCGAGAAGGTGTCAGGGTCTGGTCTGCTCGACGAGCACGAGAAAAGAGAGCGGGACGCACCTCGTACGAGTACGAGATGGGGTCGACGACGTAGTGGACCCACTTGAGCCAAGGCCGCATCGACGGCGTCGGGATAAAGTAGCCGGCGTACATGACGAGGACGTTGAGGGCGACGCCGCAGAACCGGATCGCGCCCTCAAAGTTGGGGCTCAAGGCGGCGACCATGCGGAACAGGCACGACAGGTTGAGCGCCGTCGCGTACACGAACACGAGGTAGGTCGCGAACGCCCTGAACGTCGGCTGGAGCCCGGCGAGGAGGTACGTGATGGTGCCAAACAGGGCGCACTGGACGCCGATGAGGGGCAGGTCGCCCAAGACGCGGGCGACGGCGAGCGCCGACGAGGAAAACAGGCCGTAGTCGCCCTGGCGCTTGACAATGTCGCGGCCCTCGATCGTCTTGCCGAGCTCGGCGAGCGACAGGTACGCGTTGAACATGATGGACAGGAGGAGGAGCGAGCCGCGCGTGAACGCGTGCTCGGTCGTCGGCGGCAGGCGCAGGAACAAGGTGCCGACCGTGACCGACAGGAGGAGGTTGACGACCGTCTTGGTCGTGTAGCTCGGCAGCTCGGACCGGATGAGGGCGTACTGGCGACGCGTCAAGAGGGCGACCTGGCGCGCGAACGACACGGTGTAGTGCGACGACTTGGGCGTGAACGCGCTCTTCTCGTCGCGCAGGGCCGCAAACAGCGGGCCGGCGCACCGGTCGAACGGGTGAGCGTTCCGGTACGTCTCTTCGAGCTCGTGCAGGAGCTGCTTGCGCTGCGGCGAGAGGTGCCACCGCCGCTCGAGGTCGACGTCGTTGTGTCGGCCCTCGATGCAGCCGACGAGGAACTCGGCCGTGCCCTCGCCCAGGTCGACGCGGCGCACGAACCCGCGCTGCTCAAAGTACGGCTGAGCGTCCTGGGTGCGGCCGAAAAAGACCTGGCGCCCGCGCGCGTCGAGGACGAGGACCTTGTCGAACTGGTCGTACAGGGCGTCGGCGCAGTGCGGGGTCGTGACGACGACCGAGCGCCTGCCGTCGGTCGCGTACGCGCGCAGGTACTCGAGCATGGCGACGGCGGTCGACGAGTCGAGGCCGTTGAAGGGCCCGTCGAGGAGGAGGACGGCGGCGCGCGCGACGAGCGCCTCGGCGAGTGACGCGCGCTTGCGCTCACCGCCGGACAGGCCGCGCACGAGCGGGGACCCGACGGGCGTCGCGAGGGCGTGCGCGAGCCCGAGCGCGTCGACGACGCCGCGCACGAGCTGGTCGCGCCACTGGGCGCGCGTCGAGCCGTCCGGGCGGTGCTCGGGCGTCTTGGCCGCGGCCGCCGGGCGCAGGGTCGACGCGAGCGACAGGGTCGCAAAGTGCACGTCGCGGTCGTCCATGTAGACGACCTGGGAGCGCAGGTTGCGCGAGTTGTCGCGGCCGGCGCGAGGGAACAGGGTCGGGCGGTGCGCGTTGCGGTAGTCGACGAGGCCGTAGTCGAGGTGCGAGGTTGGGGACAGGGGCAGGTCGTCCGAGCACGACAGGGCGCGGACGAGGATCGAGGCGTTTGCCGTCGGCGGGCCGATGACGAGGAGCAGTTCGCCCTGCGCGCGACAGGTCGAGGTCAGTGGGGGGTCGTTGAGCGTGAGGTGCCCTCTGCGCCCGCCGGCAGCTCTCTGCTCGCCCCAGCAGGCTCCACTAGAGCTCCCCGCTGTCGCGCAGGCGACACCCCCCACCGCGGCCGAAAGCGAGGTCGAGTCGCGAGAGGGAGGTCGGTCGGACGCACCTGGTTGACGACGCCCTCGACGCCGGCGACGAGGAGCTTGCCCTGGGCGCGCTCGCCCTTGCGGACGCTCGCGTAGGCCCTGCGGAGCGGACCACCGGTGGCGAGGTCGACGAGCGAGGCCTTGAGGTCATCGACGAGCTGGTCGGTGCCGGCGCGACCGCCAGGATCTGGGACGGCGAGGTCGGCAAAGCGCAGGGGCAGGCCGTGCGGGAGGGTGCCGTGCTGCATGGCGGGTGCGCAGGCGTCTGCTGCAGCGGGTGCGAGCGCGATGTTGAGCGTGGAGATGGCGAGCCGGCCGCTCGCCGGCGGCCGGTCTCGCCTTTGTCGTCTTCGACCTTTCCCGCCGGGCTTGCTTCGCGACTTGTCGCTCGCTCTCACGCTTCCGCGCCAGCACCTGCGCATCTCTACTACGCACGCACTCGGTCCCGGCGGCGCGCCGCCCTCTCGCGCGTTCCTCCTCGCTCTCGCGCTCTCCTCCTCGCTCGAATCGCCGGCGCTGGCCGCCCACAGCTCTGCGTTCGACGCTCGACGGGCTGCACATTGCTCGCGAGCAAGAGCCACGAGTAGCTGCGCCGGCCTTGGCCCGCCTTTTAAGGTTGGTGCGTCGGCGTCCGTCGTCCGCTCTCCTCTCCTCGCTCGGACTCTCCGGTGCTCCTCTCGCCGGCGTCGCTCCGGCCTCCGCGACCCCTCTTTCCCTTGCTCCTCGTCGTCCTCGTCGCCTCGTCCAGTCGTCGGCAAACAGGCCTGCGCGCCTACTGCACCACCTCGAGCAGCGTCCTCGACCTCGCCTCGCCCAACCACTCGACGACCACCAGCTCGCCTCGCACACCGACATGTCGGACGCCCTGCCGTACCGCTTTCCCGCCGACAGGGTGCGCCAGCCGCCCAGCCCCGTCAAGCAGAAGCGCCGCGGGACCATCAGCGTGAGCTCCCGCTCGCACCTCTTTCCGCCTCGCGTCCAGGGCTCATCAGTCCCCTGCACTCTGCGACACAGTCCGGCACGCGCTCTGCCCGCGCGTGTATACCTTGCCGCGAGCGCCACTGCGCGTGCGACAACGGCGAGCCGATCTGCGGCGCGTGCCAGGCCAAGCCTCACCGCGACCTCGAGTGCGAGTACGGCCACTCGCCCCAGTTCTCGACCAAGGCGGGCAGGCGCAAGAGCGACGCCTCGGCTCGTAGCCTGAGCAGCTGTGCGACCGACCTCGCCACCTCTCTCGTTGTCGGTCCCGTCATTGACGGCGTTTTCCCTCGCAGCCACCCTCCTCCTTTCCTCCTCGAGCCTGTCCTCCGCCATCAAGTCCACCTCGATCCAGCCGCAAACGCCTCGTCCCTCGATCGACCGCGCCTGGTCCGACGTGCCCCGCGCTCGCGTCAACACGGCGCCGCAGTTCTCGAGCTACCCGCCGCCCGCCGCCACCTCGTCCGCCTTCCTCGGCTCGAGCCCGACCCGCCACCTCAGTATCCGCACCGACGTCCACGTCAACCAGTACCACTACGACGGCCTCGAGACGCCCCTGTCGGCGTCGCCCTGGACCGCCTACGGCTCGACCGAGCCGACTTCCGCCCACTCGGTCGACGCCGTCGCGCTCGAGCCCGTCGTCGAGGCGACGTCGTACGGTACGACGGCGCCGCTCGCAGTGCCGGGTGCGCCTGAAGGTCAAGGGCAGGTCGTCGCACCCGTCGCGGCGTCGGCCGCCGGCGCGTTCGGAAGCGCCCAATGCTCGTTCCAGGCGCTCGCCGTGCACGACGGCCTGCGCGCCCACTACCAGAGCTTTGGGGCCGGCATGAGCGTGGCGGAGCGGGTCAGCATGGAGGCGCTCATCGGTGGTTCCGCAAAGGTGCTCGCCTCGCTTCACGAGCTGTCGGGCACCCTCGCCAGTCAGGCGTCGACGCCGCAGTGAGCGGGTCGGCCAGATCTCTCCTTTCGTCTCTCTTCTCTTCTCTTTTCTGTCAGTACCCCCCTATCAGTCGGTAACTATGCGCGTTGGTCCGTCTAGCCTGTGCGAAAGAGCCAGAGAGAGTCTCGAAAACGAAGCCGCAGTTGGTCCCGCGAGGTTCGAGCGAGCTGCGCAGGAGCCAGGTCGAGCTGGACCTCGTCGAGAGCACGCGCAGCAGTACGTAGCGAGCGTGTACAGGCCAACTGCTGCTGTCGGCAAAGCTGGGAAAGCGCTCGAACCCCGAACGCGAGCTGGTCTTCGGACTGCGAACCACCTTCGTGTGTACGGCTCTGGCTCCGGGACGACGTTCTGCTGCTCTCGCTCGGCATTACAAGGATCTACAACGCTCCTCTCTCGACGTACCGCCATGCCACAGCTCCCTGGCAGCACGCCTCGGCTGCCTGCGGAGGTTCGCGCCATCGCTCGACAGTCGACGACCCGCCTGCTGCCCTGCTCGCGATCCATGCACCCTGTATCTTCCTCCCGCTGCCCAGACCGAAGCCCTGCACGCGCTGTCGGCGCCTCGAGGTGCGACGACGCGAGCGACGAGAGGGAGGAGAGGGCAGAGAGACAAGGGGACGCACAACAAGGCCGCCGAGTGCTGCAAGAGGGCCGGTAGTGGCTCTTGATAGCCCTGCGCGAGTCTTGCGAGGCGGCTCTGCTCGCCTGTTGATGCGAGTGGTCGGCGAGCGAGCGTCAAGAGCGGCGAGCGGAGAGGAGAGGGGCGGGGGATGCGGGCACGGCGCAGCGGGTGGCGAAAAGGTGCTGGGTCGACCGAGGGGCAGCTGCTAGCCCTTTGAGCGCAGTCGTTGCAGCAGTACAGGCTGGTGGGCCGTGTGCAGCCGAGCCTTCCGCCTCATCACTCGCAGCCTCCCTCACGGCTCTCCCTCTCGACTACATCCTCCTCTTTGCTCTATGTGAAGAGTCGAGCAGCTCGTGCACCGCCCTGCTCATCACATGCACCACCGGCCCTTCCATCTGCCTTGACGGCGCGGCCCCGCGGTCCCTCATCCAGCTCGGTGCCTCAACTCGTCCAACGACGGCTCTCCTGTGCGTCCCTCGCTTCTTGTGTCTGTGCGTCCGCCCTCAAACCTCTCTCAAGCAATGACTGACCCACCTCGTCCCCTCCTCGCAGCCGGACTCGGCCGCGCCGACGACCTCAAACCTTGCACCTCCCCCATCTTCCTCCTCGCCATCTTTCGTCTGTGGCAGCTCAATTCGCCGAGCCTACTGGGCGCAAGAGCTCACGGACTGCTGTCTCGAGCGCTTGAACATGGTGCGTCCCTCTCTCTGTCCTCGATACGCGAAAGTCGGCTCACCTTCTCCCGCCCCTCCCTCCTCTGCAGATCCTCTGAGTCTCGAGCTGTCGTCAAAATTCTCGCGCCATCAGGGTCCAGCTGCGCGTCATCACGAGGAGCTTCATCGTCGCGCCCAATTGCCGTCGAGACTGGAGGGAAGGACGAGCGGGTGCGTCTCCTCTTCCTCCTCCTCTCCCTCTCTGCCGCCATTTCGTCTCGTCTCGAGCGAGGAGCTAACCTTGTATCGCACTCTTGCCCTCCATCTCTTTCTGCAGGTTCGACGGGCACGGGCTCGAGGACGAGGGCGGCATCGGCCACGTCGCGACGATACCTCGTCTCCCGCCTTCTCGACCGTTCAGCGCCAGTAGCAGCCCGCAACTGCAACGATCGACCCTCTTTACCGCAACGAGAATCTCGAGACCTCCTTCCCGTGCCGCTCACGAGAGTTCCACCCGCGCAGATGCGAGACTCGGACGCGCTGGCGTCCGTACGCCGGCACCGCGCACGCACCCCATGCCGGCACGCCTCCTGAGCGGCACCCCTGCGAGCGGCGTCTTACCGACGGCATCGTGGGGGACGCTTCAGCGGCACGTCGAGCGATCGGCGGCATGTCTCGCGGAACCCTGTTTGTGTGCGCGCAGGCCACTCGAGCGGGCTCGCGCTCGGCATCATTCCTCTTCCCTCTTGCCCTCACCTCCCGCCGACCCCCTCTCCCGCGCCCTTCGCCCCGACATCGCCATGGGCAAGGTCAAGACCGGCCGCAGACCGGGCGCGTCCGCCAACAACGACCGCACGCCCGAGCAGTGGACCGCGTTCGTCGCCGAGGGTTCCGCCGCTCAAAAGCTCGCGCACGAGACGAGACGAGGGGCACCGCGTCCGACGCGACCCCAAGGTCTGCGGCTCCCCTCACCAGGGCGGCGCGCCGTGCCAGAACCGGGTCGACCGCTGGCGCACGCGCCACGGCTTCATCGGGCCCTGCTCTCACTGCGAGTACCTTGTGCGTCCCTTCTTCCCTTTTCTCTCTCCTCTCGTGCGCTCGAACTGAAGCCCTTGCCCTGCAGCGCAAGGGTGGACCCGCAGGCGTGCTCCACCTGGCCGAGGTGCGTTCGCGCTCTCCCTCTTCCCTCGGGCTTTGGAAGCCGCCCACTGACAAACCTTGGCTACAGATCCGCCGCAAGCGTCAAGCTGTCGTCGACCAACTCGCCGCCGACGCCGCAGCCGGCCTGCCGCCGCCGCCAAAGGTGCCGCTCCGCTACTCGAGTGCGTCCTCCTCTCTCTCTTTCGAGGCTCTCTCTCTTTCGAGGCTCTCTCCCTCGACGAGGCCTGACGGTCCACCTTCCTCGCGTGCCAGAAATCACGAAATGGCCCGGCGAGCCCGACAAGAAGAAGGAGAAGAAGGCCGAGGGCAAGGGCAAGAAGGCGGCAACGGCGAGCGACTCGGACGACCACGACGACGCCGCCAAGATGAACGTGTCCAAGGTCCGTGCTTCCTCTCTCCCTTCTGTGACTGCGACGCCTCACTGACTCGCCGCCAATTTCCTCCTTTCGCCGACCCTGCAGGAGGCGCTCGACGACCAGCCCGTCGACCAGACGATCGAGACGCCCGACTTTTTCCGCGGCACCAACGTCCCGTTCCCGAAGGGCGACCGCGTCACCGTGCGCGAGGACCGCAAGAACGTCACGCTCCACAAGATTTACGGCTGCGAGCGCGAGTTCAACCTGCCGCCGCCGTACAAGTGCAGCGACTGCGACGAGCCCATGGACTACCAGAAGGGCGACGCCATCCAGTACTTCATCCGTCGCGGCCAGCTCATCGTCTCGTACCACTACATGGGCAACGCTCACTGCCGAGCCTGCAAGAGGAAGGCCCTTGGCGAGACGGTGCGTCCCCTTTCTCGCGTTCGACCTTCTCAAGTCGAGCTCGGAGCTGACTTTCGCCCCTGCACCCTGTCGCAGGAATTCCCCGACGGCAGCGAGGTGCGTCCTCCCTCCTCTACGAGTCTCTCTTTTGCGACCCTCGAACGTCTCTGACCCTGTCGTGGTTCCCCATCCCCCTTCTCGCTCGCCTTTCCTCCCCGCCTTCCTCACATCGCGCAGGCACGCGCAAAGGGGCGCATCGCGAGCCTCAACAAGTTCCGCGACGACCCGCTCGCGTACCTCAACAGCACCGCCAAGAGCTGCCTCGTCCGCATCCGCTGGCGCGAGAAGGACGACGAGACGCCCGAGGGCAAGCGCTTCGAAAACAACTTCAACAACGTCGCCGACGCGCAGCAGGCCATCGCTGCGGCGCTCCTCAAGGCCGTCGACCCGGGCATGGAGAACGGCGTCCCCGGCAACGAGCTCATCACGTCGCGCGTCCTGTGGTTCAACAAGGTCGTCGTCAACGAGCGTCTCGAGGCGGTCATGAAGATCAAGTCGCGCATCACGGGCCGCCCGATGCGCTGGGGCGTCGACGACAAGAACCCGGCCACGGTTCGTCCCCTCTTCCACTCTCGCGCTCGACAGGAGGTCCACGACTGCGACTGACTCGAGCTCGTCGAGCTGCGCAGGTCTCGCTCGACCGCATCTACTCGGACCTGCAGTACCACGACGCCGAGCAGCTTCTGCAGCTCATCGAGTGGGGCTGGAACTGGTGCGTCCCCTCTTCCCTACCCTTGGTTTCCCGCTCGTCCTCGAGCAGCACTGAGTCTCCTCTCGTCTGCCTCCCTCCTACTCTCGCTGTTCGTCCCCTCGTCATACTCTCGTCCTCCTTCCTGCAGTGCCTTCCAGGACGCTCCGCCCGAGCAGCGTGCCGAGATGCTGCGCGTCTCGTTCGCTCCTCTTCGCAACGTCGCGAGCGCCGCCATGCGCGTCCAGGAGTACCACACGCCCGAGATCGACCGAGGGCGCCGTCAAGAGCTCTCGGGCACGATCGAGGCGGACGAGGCGCTCGTCAAGTCGTACGGCTACAGCCGCTCGGACGCGCTCGAGCGCTGGGACAAGGCGGCCGACGGCCACGGCGCGATGAAGGCCGTCTACGCCATGCAGGCGAGGCGTCCGACGCGCCTCAACCGCGACGGCGTCCTCGGCGACACGGTCGACAAGCGCGAGTGGGCGGGCACGGCGGCGAGCGACGCCGAGCACGCCAAGGCGGGCCGCTCATTCTTCGTCGCCAGCGGCCTCATCTGCGCCGTCACGGGCTTCAAGGAGGACCACGCGCTCGGGCTTTCGCTCGAGACGGATCGGTGCGCCCCGTTTTCTCAATCTCTACCTCCCTCCTTCCTCGTCCTCCTCGGCGAGAACTCGGACTGACGTCGCTCTCTCCCTCCTCCTCCCTCCTCGCAGCCTCACCGACGACATGGACTACTCGGCCGAGAACTGCGTCGTCATGTTCAAGCACTGCAACCGCTTCAAGGGCCAGCTCCCGCACACCAAGACGCTCGCCAAGTTCCTCGCGTTTGTCAAGAAGGTCCCGCACCTCAAGGCCATCTACGACGAGCAGGGCCTGCGCTACGCAGTCACGCAGTACGTCGCCGAGGAGATGCAGCACGGGCCCGGCCTGTACCCGGCCGTCCGCGCCGACTCGTCCGCCTCGTCGCCCGAGGTCGACTCGTCGCTCGAGGTCGAGCCCGACACCGCCCCGAGCCGCTCGCCCTCGCCCGAGCTCGCCATGCCCACCTCGACCGCCGACCTCGGCTTCTCGCCGCCGTCGCCTCGCCTCCCCGGCGCCTCGTCGCCCTCGGCCTCGTCGCTCGCCTCGTCGCTCGCCTCGCCTCTCGCCTCGCCTCTCGTCCCGACCGGCGGCACGCCCGCTCTCGCCCTCGACCCGTCCACGTTGTCGCACGACACGTCGTCGGCGTCGTCGAGCGGCGACAAGTCCGGCCTCGTCGCGCCGTCGCAGCCCGACCTCGCGCTCGTCACGGTCGGCGGCTCGCGCTCGAGCGCCGTCGACGGCGGGCTCGGCACGACGCCCTCGCAGGTCGACGGCGACGGCGACACGGCGATGGCGACGCACGACGGCCTCGAGACGGTCGCGCTTCAGCAGTCGTCGTCTTCGGCGGCGGGTTCGACCTCGGGCTCGGGCCTCGACTCGGCCAACTCGACGTCGAGCTCGCTGTTCGGCCCGGTTCCCTCGGCGGCGTCGGTTCGCCGCAAGGTCAAGGCGTCGACGGCGTCGGCGGTGAGCAGCTCGGGCGGCCACGTCGCGAGCGGCTCGACGGCGAGGCGTCCGGCGCCGGTCGTCAACCTCGTGTCGAAGCACTTCTCGGACCGCACCAAGGCGCGCGACGAGCGCGAGAAGGTGCGTCTCCCCTTTTCTCTCTCTCTCTCGCTCTCTCTCTCTTTCTCGCCTCTCGCGCGCACCCCTCGTCGCACTCGGAATTGACGATTCGCCCCCTCTCTCCCCCTTCTGCCTCTCGCCCGCCTGCAGCTCCCGGCGCAGCACTTCGACAAGCGCGGCAAGCCGTACGCCCGCTACCTCCACCTCTACAAGCGCGACAAGCACGGTTACTGGTGCAGCGTCTGAGTGCCGAGGAGCGGTCGAGGTGCGTCTCTCTCTCTCCCTCTCTCTCCCTCTTTCGGCTCCCTCAGCGTTCGTCGACACTGACCCTTCTTTCATCCTGCAGGCGACGGCGACGGCGACGGCGAGGAGGAAGGGTGGACGAGGAGGAGGAGGAGGAGGAGGAGGAGGACGAAAGAGCTGAGCGCCGGCGCTCAAGGCTCGACCAGTTCTACCTAGACTTCTCGCTTGAATCTTGATTGCGTTCGTGTCCCTCTTGCGCCTCGGCACTTCCTGGCCGCGAGGACGAGAGAGCGAGAGCGTCTTTGCGCCTGTACGAGGGACGAGGCTGCGAGCCTTTGCGAGTCGCGCTCGCCTTCGAGTCGGGCGACGAACCGAGGAGAGCGCACGTTCCTCTCGCCGCGAAAAAGGCTTTTTCTCTCTCTCTCGCTCGTTGCTGAGACGCACACAGAGACGGACTGGTGAGAGTGCACTGCATTTCGTGTCGGTCGCTGTACAGGAGCGAGGAGGGGGAGCACGCGCTCACGCCTTCTCGAGGACGGTGAGGAGCGCCTTGGCCATGCCCGACGCACTCGCGGGGTTCCCCGCCGTGATCAATTGTCCGTCGACGACCACCTCCTCGGCCCACGCCTTGCGGGTGAGCTGGAAGTCTGCGCCCTTGTTGCGCAACTCGGTCTCGACGAGGAAGGGGATCGAGTCGACGAGTCCCGCCTGGCGCTCCTCGTCGTCCGAGAAGCACGTGATCTGTCGTCGCGCACAGAGGTGCGTCAGGTGCTGTGCGAGGCATGTAGGAGAGGCGAGAAAGGAGGGCGCACCTTCTTGCCCTTGACGAACGGCTCGCCCGACTTGGGGTCGGTCACGTTGAGGAAGACGGTCGGGCCTGCGGTCGGACGGCGAGGGTCGGTTCGGTGGCTTCACGAGGAGCAGACGAAAGTGAGAAGGACGCACCGTGGCAGACCGACGCGACGGGCTTGCCCGCCTTGAGGAACGACTCGATGAGCGCGATCGAGTCCTTGTCGGTGGTGAGGTCCTGTGAGGCCAAGAGGATGAGCGCCCGCTCGCCGCAGCGCACGAAGCTTATAGACTCAAAAAAATAGGCGCGTGCCCTCCGGGAAGTGCAAGCGCGGCGTAGTCGGCCTCCTTGACGTCCGTGATCTGCGGGAGGGAGGAAAGGGTTGGCGACGACGCCGAGGAGAGAGGGAAAGAGAGGGGAGCGCACCTTCTTAGTGTTCGCGAACAGCTGCTTGGGCTCGTCCTCGTTGAGGAACTTGATCGAGTCCGAGTCCTCCCTGCGGCGGCGAGGAAAGGAGGGAGTCAGGGAGACAGCGCGACAGGGGGAGGGACGACAGGCGAGCGAGCGACGCACTTGAACGCCTCGACGCTCGACGGGTCGAGCGGAGCCTTGCCTCCCTGCGCGCAAGTAAGAAAGGGTCAGTCAAGGCCGCCGTTGGCAGAACGACGGTCGAGAGGAGAGAGACTCGCCTTGGGGGAAGCGACGTCGATCTTGTAGCCGGCGTTCTTGAGGACGTAGTACGGGTGAGCAGCCTCGGGCCTGCGAGTCGTGACAGGGGTCAGCTCGGGATCGAGGGCACCGCGCGACGGCAGGCCCTGGCTGTGCGCCGACACAGCAACCGCAAGACGGCGCATCGCCGCGAGGGGTCGGCGGCCACGGCCGATGCTGCACGAAGCGAGAGGGAGGAAACACGAGACTCAACAGGTAGTAGCCGGTGGGCTTGCCGTCGAGGAACTGGTCGTGCGACGAGACGACAAAGAGGATGTTCTGCGGGATGAGGACGGGGAGGTGAGCTCCGTCGCAAGAACCGACTCGACTGCTGTGCTCGACGCGCGTTCGTGCTCCTGCCCTCCCACCAGGCCGTCCTCGAGAGTCCCTCTGGCCGGGCTCGCAAGCCAGGGCTCAGGCGGAAGGGTGCGCGTCATCGAGGAAGGGTGGGGAGATGAAGGTGGGACTGGGGAGAGAGAGGGGGGCGGGGCGCACCTTGTTGGCGGCCATGGCTGTAGTTGCTGGGCAGTCGGGTGCAAAGGTGCGTGGAGGAAGCAAGAGGCGAGAAGAGCGGGCGCAACGTGTGCAGCGAGACTCGGTCAGCGTCGCCGCGCTTCGTCGCGGACAAGTGGCCGAAGCTTCTCTCGGACAGCGTCGTCTCGCCTTTTTTTGCGAAGGGTTCTTTCGCAGTCCTGGCGACACGGTCGCTGGCGTGCACAGAGGAGAGTACTGTACATAAAGACGCGCGAGAGGGCCACCGCCGCCGCTCACCCCGCCGGCCGCATCCTCGCCCGCTGCACCGGCTGCTCCTCGACTGCGCCATACCCAGCTCGAGCACCACGCGCAAGCCCCTGCTGCTCCTGCGCCCGCTCAGCCGCCGAGCTACCCGCTGCGTCTGCTCCCACCGCCTCGCCACGACCGCCGGCCGCCTCGGCGCCCTCGTCCTCCGTCTCGCCGAGCGAGTCCCACCCGGCCTCCTGGCTGCAGCACGGCGCCGCACACGGGCAGCACGCGCCGCAAGAGTCCCGCACGAGGCTCGTCTCTGCGCGTGCGAGGGCCGCCCGGGTCAGCTTCGAGGGCGCGGCGAGGGGCGTTGAGGGAAAGGGGGGGCAACGCACGCGTCTCGGCGCACGACTGGAGGATGCCGTCGCAGATGGTGCCGATGAGCTGGGCGACGAGGTCCATGGGGACGGGCGCGCGGTGCTCGGGGCGGTGCTCAGGGCGGGAGCTCGCTCGCCTCCTCAACTCGGCCGCCAACCTTGGGCTATTTGCGGTCCGGCCCGTACCTCCAGCGCCCTCTCTCTCTCTCTCTCTCTCTCTCTTTTCGACCATTCACCACGTCCGACTGGTCACACCGCCGGCCCTCGACCTTGACCCGCCCACGGCCGCACCTCGACCCGCTCGCTCCGAGGACCACCGCCCCCGTCGCCCCAGCCCCGAGCCGCTCTGCAACATGCCCGCCCGCTCGCACGACCACCTGTCGGACCGGACGGTCCTCGTCATCAGCCTGGCCATCTATGCCGCCAACGCGTTCCTCCTCGCGCCCTCGACCCGGGACTGGTTCGGGTTCCTCGCCTCGTCGCTCCTCCTCGTCGTCGTCAACTGCGCCGCGGTCGAGTGCGCCTTTGTCGCCGACCGTCGCAAGCTCGTCGTCGCACAGATCGTCTCGATCAGCGCCATGATCCTCGTCGTCGTCCTCGGGTTCTTCCTCCTCGTCACGTCCCAAGAGGCCGAGCGCGTGCGCGACAAGGTGTACCCGGTCGTGCTCGCGCTCTACATCTTTGTCACGTTCCTCATCACGCGATGCAGCCTCGCGGAGCAGGAGGACTCGACGGCGGCGGTGGCGGCCGAGGAGGGACAGGCCGGCGGCGGCGCGGCGGGCGAGGGCAGCAGCGAGCGCGCCGACGGTGTGAGGGCGGCGACGGCGGCGGCGGCGGCGGCTGACGGCGCGAGCGACGTCTGGGCGGGCGAGGCGAGCGGGCAGTCGGCCAAGGGAGGCTTCTTCTCGAGTGCGCCCCCCCCTCTCTCTCTCCTCGACTCTTCGACCGAGCTGCACTGACCCTCTGCGTCGGCGTGCAGGTGCCCCTCCAGCGCCCCCTGGCTACGCGGCAGTCCCGTCGGCCGAGCAGTAGCCGTGCCGCGTCGCTCGTCAACGACCCGCGCCCAGACCTCCTCGTCCTCCCCTCGACGCCTGCGACCGTCTCTTCCCTCGTCGCCCTGTGTCCCGATCCGTTTCCTGTAGCACTCTCGCCGTCCTTGTCAAGCCAGCTGTCCGATTTGCCTGCGTCGAGAGTGGCTCGCGGCCTCGTCGGCGAGGAGAGCGAGAACGGCCTCGACATTGTCCAGCAACCGCCTCGGCAGACATGCTTACAGCCTGTACGACGCTAGCCTGAGCACCCTGGCAAGCGTACAGGGCGCCCGGAAGCGAGCGAGGCCACGCTCATCGCCAAGTTCCCGCCGCCGCCCCGCTCCTCTCCTCACCACACGCTCACGTCGCCACCATGAGCTCCCGAGACCACCGCGACTCGGACCGAGACGACCGCACTCGCGACCGCCCCTCGTCGTCCCGCCGCCGTTCCGCCTCGCCTCCTCATCGCTCCTCCTCCCGCCGCGACGACCGCGACCGCGACCCGAAGCGCGATCGCCGCGACGACGACCACCACGACCGCGACCGCGAGCGTCGCAGCGACCGGGACCGCGACCGCGACCGCCCGCGCGACGGCGTCAGGGAGCGGCACCGCGAGCGGGAGCGCGGGGGAGATGAGCGGCGCAGCAGTCGGCGGGAGAGGAGCAGGAGTCGCAGCCAGGAGCGCAGCTCGAGGGATAAGGACCGCGAGTCCAAGAAGTGCGTCCCGTGCCCTCTCTTGCTCGCCCGTGGCCGTGTCGAGGTGGGCCTCCTCCGTCGTCTCGAGCACCTGGACTGACCCTCTCTCCCTCCTTCCCTCCTTCCCCGTGCGCCCCTCTGCACCGCAGGCACCGCCACCGCGAGACGTCCGAGGAGCGCCGAGCCCGCAAAGCAGCGCGCAAAGCCGAGAAGGCCGCCGACGCCGCCCTCCTGCTCCCCGAGGATGCCCGCCAGGCCGCGGCCGAGGTCGCGTTCTACTCGGCGCAGGACAACCCGTTCCACGACGCCAACCTCGGCGACAAGTTTGTGTGGGGCAAGAAGCGCGAGAAGGAGCGCAAGATGGGCATGACGCCCGAGGAGGCGGCCAAGCGGGACCGCGAGCGCGCGTACGAGAGCCAGGTGCGTCCCTTGCTCTCTCTCTCGCTCTCTCCCACTTTCACGGTCTCTGACCACAACTTGCCAACCCGTGCCGCAGCAAGAGATCGAGCGCCTCAACGTCCGCCGTGCGCAGCGCGAGGAAGAGTTCAAGCTGCGCGAGGCCGAGTCGATGCGCGCCGCGCGCGACGCCGAGTCGGCGCAGATGGCGGCCTGGATCGATCGCGAGGACGACTTTCACCTCGAGCAGGCCAAGAAGCGCGCCGAGATCCGGGTCCGCGAGCGCCGCGCCAAGCCGATCGACTACCTCGCGCTCAACCTCAAGTGGAGCCAGCCGCCGCTGCAACCGGGCGACGAGGGCTACGACGAGGACGACGAGGACGAGGGCGAGGGCCTCGAGGTCGACCTCGAGGAGCCGTACGCCATCTTCGAGGTGCGCCCCCTCTCTCTCCTCGCGCTCAGCCCGCCTCCCCTCGTGCGAGTCTCTGACCCTCGGCCCGCCCGCAGCACCTCACGCTCGAAGACGCCGAGGAGCTCCACGACGACATCAAGATGTACCTCCAACTCGAAAAGATCGAGGCGCACACCGAGTTCTGGCGCGCGCTCCTCATCGTGTCGTCGGCGTCGCTCGAGGCCCTGCGCGAGGAGCGCGCGATCGGCGTCAACGCGTACGCGGCGCAGAGCCGGGCCAACGCGGCGGTCAAGGCCGAGATCCAGCGCCTCCTGAGCGGCAAGTCGTTCGACCAGCTCGTCCAGCTGCAGCAGCAGGTCCAGGGCAAGCTCGCGAGCGGCGAGGTCATCGACGTCGAGTACTGGGAGGGCCTCCTCAAGGAGCTCGTCGTGTGGAAGGCCAAGGCCAAGTTGCGCGACATGCACGAGGTCGTCCTGTTCAACCGCCTCGAGCAGCTGCGCAAGAAGCAGCGCGACGAGGCGCTCCGGTACGCCGAGGAGGTCAAGAACGCGCTCGCCGGCCCGTCCGCGCCCGCCAAGGACGACCACGACGACGACGACGACGAGATGGACGTCGAGGACGACGAGGCCGAGGAGGTCGGCGAGCCGTCGGCGCCGGCCGTCGTCGCCGACGCGTGGAACCCCGAGTGGGAGCCGGCGCTCCTCAAGCGCATCCCCGAGGAGTACCGCCTGTGCCAGGTCGTCGACTTTGCGTCGGACCGCGCCCAGCTGTACGCGGCCCGGCGCGCCGTCGCCCAGGCGCGGTTCGTCGTCAAGCCGCGCGGGCCCTCGGGCGCCGAGGGCGACGGCGCCGCGAGCAAGGACGACGCAATCTACCAGGCGGCGGTCGGCCAAGGGTTCGATGAGGAGGAAGAGCTGTTCAACCTCGAGGCCGAGATGTCGAGGCCGAGCTACAGCTGGGAGGACAAGTACCGCCCGCGCAAGCCACGCTACTTCAACAAGGTCCACACGGGCTACGAGTGGAACAAGTACAACCAGACCCACTATGAGTGCGTCCCTCTCTCTCTTCCTTTCTACTGGCCGTCCTCGTCGTCGTCGTCGTCGTGGTCGGGCCTCGTCGAGGTCGTCACTGACCTTCTTTCCCTCTCCGCAGCTCGGACAACCCTCCGCCCAAGGTCGTGCAGGGCTACAAGTTCAACATTTTCTATCCCGACCTCATCGACAAGACCAAGGCGCCTCGTGCGTCCCTCGTTTCGCTCCCTCCCCCGAGACTCGGCCCTCACCGTCCCTCGCCTCGCGCCCCATGCAGAGTACCGCATCATCAAGAACAAGGAGAACCCCGACATCTGCACCATCACGTTCTCAGCGGGCCCACCGTACGAGGACATTGCGTTCACGATCGTCAACAAGCAGTGGGAGCACTCGCACAAGCGCGGGTTCCGCAGCTCGTTCGACCGCGGCGTCCTCCAGCTCCACTTCTCGTTCAGGTGCGTCCCATCTCTCTCTCGTCCTCTCTTGTACACCGTCGTCGAGCGCTGGAGCTGACCCACTCGTTCGTCTCGCAGGCGCACCATGTACCGCAAGTGAGGAGGCCACCAGGAGGAGGAGCGAGGCGGCAATGCATGCTTTCGTCTGCCTGCTTGCGCCCATCTTCCTGTGTGCGATCTCACGAGAGACTTGCGCACGAGGCAAGAGCCGAGAGCGACTGAGAGAGACGACTCAGACCGGGACGAGGCGGTGCCGGCTCTCGAGGACGCTCGCCCACGACCACCTCGCATCCCGGCTTGCGACCCTGCTGCATGTGGTCCAGGGTCGCCAAACTCGCGTCTCCTGCGCCACGCAAGCCCGCCGCACCCGTCACCCCGCAGCTCTCGACCCCGGACGTCGTCGCCCAACTCGAAGCGCTCCTCGCCTCGTCCCCGGCACCAGCAGCAGTCGCCCCAGCCCTCGACCAGCTCCTCGATGCTCTCAAGGCCGACTCGGCTCAGGCGACGACCGCCGACGTGCTCCCCGAAGGGATCGAGCACTTGCTCCGCGAGGGCAGCCTCGGCACGCTCGTGGGCCTCGTCGAGCACGACGCCGGCCTGCGCGAGGAGCTCGTAAGGTGGTACGGCCGCGCCATCATCGAGCTCGACGAGGGCTGGCTGTCGCACAGCGCCGTCAACCGCCCATTGTGAGCACCACGTTCCCCTCCTCTTTCGTCCGCTCCTCCGTGCAACTCTCGCTCACCTCGCACACGTCCTGCAGAGTGCGGCTACTGCGACGATGCGTCGACGAGGAGGGCGGTCTGAGCCGAGCAGAAGAGCTCGTCGTCGTCCAGGTCATGTGCACGGTCGCCGCCCGGATCAAGACGGTGCGTCCCTGTCGCCTCACCTTCTGCGCGCCCCGCCGCTCACCAGCCCACCGCCTGCAGAGACCAGAGCTCCTCGCCATCTTCTTCCGCGAGAAACCGCCTCGAGCGAGCAAGAAGGACGCCGCCGCCAACCGCCCGATCCCGTTGTCGAGCCTGTCCGACCCTCCCGTCTCGCCCACCCTGTCGCAGGCGACCATGAGCGACACCTCGTTCGCCTTCAGCACGTCGCACACGTCGGCCGGCTCGCCACGCCGCCGAGCCGAGCACGACTTCCTCTTGTTCTCGTACCTGCTCCGGTTCATCCATCGCGAGGGCGACGTCGGCGACTCGGCACGCGAGGGCGTCCTGTCGCTCGTCGACGTCGCGCTCGGCTACCCGGCCCAGTACACGCCGTCACTCGACACGTCGGGCGGCCTGTCGCCCATGACGACCGCGCCGGCTGCCGCTCGCGAGGCGGTCCTCGCCTTTGCCGAGTACCTCCTCGACTCGGACTTTGCCGACGTCCTCGGCGCGGGCCTCGGCGCGCTGTACGGCCTGCTGCCGACCAAGCTCGTCGTCCGCGCCGACGCGACCGCCACGAGCGGGACCGCGCCGGGCGAGGCGCAGGTGACCGGCGGCATGGTCCTCGGCGGCATGGGCGCCCTACACGGCGATGAGGCCGACGCCGAGGCCGCCGAGCGCCGGCGCGAGGACGACGAGGCGCGCCTGCGCGCCGAGGGCTACGGCGTCACGGGCACGGCCGAGTTCCGCGACGGCCTCGACGGGTTCCTCAAGCTCGTCGAGTTCACACGCGACGTCCTGCGGCGCTGCACCGACGGGCTCGCGCTCGGCGACAAGGTCGACAGCGACGACGCACGGCAGCAGCACCTCGTCATGACGGCGCTCACGGGCGCCATCCTGTCGGCCGTGCGCGAGCTGTTCCTCCAGAGCGTCCTGTACCCGTCCGTCCTCGAGTGCTCCGACGCCGACGGGTCGGCTGTCGCCGTCCTGACGTACCTCGACGCGCTCCTCACCGTCGTGCCCGAGGGCTCGACGCTCGAGGCGGCCATCCTCGGGTACCTCCTCGCCGACGACACGGCGGCGGACCACGCCGCCTCGCCCGCCCCGCGCCGACCTCGCCCGGCGCACGCCTCGTCGTCGACGTCGACGCCGCCGACGCTCCTCAGCAAGGTCAAGCGGCGCAAGTCGTCGGCGCTCCTCCTCGTCGAGCGCACGGCGCCCTCGCCCGCCGCCGGCCGCGGCGGCGACTACTACACGTCGCACGGGCGGTTCAGCCTGCGCGACCTCCTCGTGTCGCACGTCAACTCGTCGTCGGCGTCGACGGCGGCGGCAGCGCTCAAGCTCCTTCAGACGGTCCTCGTGCGGCACGACCGGTGGAGCATGGCCCTCCTCGACCCGGTCCTGGACGAGGCGGCGACAAGCTTCCCGATCACGCTCCGCGCTCCGCCTGTCGCCCTTGACGACGACGACGACGACGACGAGTCGGACGATGAGCCGCCGCGACGGCATCCTGCGCTCGACACGGCCGATGATTCGGACTCGGACGAGTTTGTCTACCCGACGCACGACGGCCCGAGCACGCCTCGCACCGGTCGGTCCTCCGCCTTCGCCAAGACGCCCGCCGCCGCTCTACGTCCCCTCCTCGGCATGCCCCTCCCGTCCACGCCGTCCGTCGCGCTGCACCTCGACCTCCTCGACACGCTCCTCTCGCTCGTCGGCCGCATCGACCCGACCTACCGCCGCATGCGCGCCGTCGGCGGCGGCTCCGAGATGGTCACGACCGGGTTCGCCAACTACCTGCGCGACGCCGAGGCGAGCCTCGCGAGCGAGCTCGGGTTCCGGCGCGGCTTGCGCGCGTCGCCGGACGAGGCGCGCGAGGCGGCCGTCCCGCCCATCGAGCCGCGGCGACGGAGCACGCTCTTTGGCCCAAGCAAGCCGTCCCTGTCGGCGTGCGACTACGCGGCGGCCAAGACGGGCTACCGGCACAAGCTGCGGCCGACCGCCGAGCTCGTCGCGCTCCTCCTCGAGTCGCTCGCGGGCTTCTTCTCGCACTCGCCCGACGTCAACCTCGCCCTGACGGCCGTCCTCGCCGCGCTCGCCCTGTCGCCGTACCGGTCACTCGACGGGTGGCTCCTCCCCGTCGTTCGCCAGGTCAAGACGGCCGTGTCGGGCGCGAGCCCTCGGCCGAGGCGCTCGCCGAGGAGCGACGACGGCGACGACCGCAGCGACGACTACGAGGTCGACGAGCGCAGCCGTCATGCCGCGCTCCTCTCGCCGCACCCGACGCACGTCTTGACAGGCGCCGCATCCACCGGCACCGCTCCGCCGTCGGCGACCCGTGCCGCCCTCGCGTCGTCCGACTCGCTCCTGTCGACCCTCGACGCCCTCGCCGATTCGATCGAGCAGTACCGCCTCACGATCCCGCGGTTCGACAAGTACCTCGCCGAGCGGCGCGAGGGCCTCTTCTTTGCCGAGAACCTCGCCGAGGCGCTTGAGGGCGACGAGCTCGGCGCCGCACTCGACGACACGGCGTTCGCCCCGCCCAAACCGCCGGTGCTGCCGTCGCCCTCGCTCGACGCCGCAACCAAGAAGTCGCCCGCGCTCGGCGGCTTGGGCGGCTTCTTCTCGCCGCGCCGCCCGTCGGCCGCGCACCGCCGCACGCCGTCGACCCCGGCCGCGTCGTTCCACACCCCGCCGCGCTCGCACGCCCAGCGCACGAGCCACCTGCGCCGCTCGGCGTCGGACGAGTCGCTCGCGCCCGCGTCGCCGTCGCCCCGAGGAGGAGGAGGAGGGCTCGCGCCGCCGCCACCGCCGCGAGCGAGTGCGGGCCAGGGCCCGGCGTCGCCGTTCGCGGCGCACTACCGTGAGACGGGCGCCATCACGGTGACGCCTGTCGTCGTCGCGAGCCCGGCGCCGCGGCGGACAGTGGACGACGACGGCGAGGGCGACGAGCGCGAGGCGGTAGGTCCGCCCGACTCGCCGACTCGGAGGCTGTCGAGCCGGGCCCGTGCGGCGTCACCCTCGGCGCGCTCGTCGGCGTCGTCGTCGTTCCCGCCGCCTTCGACGACGGCCACGAGGCGCTCGCCGTCGACGGTGGCGGCGACGGCAACCGTGTCGCTGTCGACGGTGCTCGACAACGTGATCCTGCTCGAGGAGTTTGTCAAGGAGGTGGCGGCCATCGTACACGTGCGGCGCGCGGTCGGGATCGACGCCGTGCGCTTCGTCGAGTGAGGCCAGCTGGTGCCGGTGCGACGAGGGTGGGGAGCGCGCGAGGGGGCGGGAAGGTCTCGGAGGGAGATTGGCGATCCTGCGCGCGTCGAGAGGAGGCGGTGGAGGATGAGACGCGCTGATGAAGATACCCCCACCTCGCCCGTCCTCTCTGTTCTTTGATACCTCTGCATCGTCGTTATCCACATCGTTCGTCTCTGCTCGTACCGACCGAGAGAGAGAGACGGCGAGCGCAATGCCGAGTCGTCCAGTCATCGTTCCGGTCGCGCTCTCTCGCTCTCAATCGTCGCTGCTCGCTGTCCACCCAGCCTGCGCCTAGCACCGCTCCAGCGACGCACAGCAGTACCATCGAGCCCGCAAGCCCGTCGCACCGCCCGCCCGCGGCGTCGTCGCCCTCATCCGCAGCCGCCCCCGCCTGCTCACCGACGCGTCGTCGCCCCGACCTCGAACGCGCCCAGGCGGCCGTGGGACCCGGCGCAGCAGCATGGACGCCGAGCGACAAGCACATGCGGGTGTCGTGCCGGCTCAAGGCGAGGGCTCGCCTGCTCCAACAGGTGCGTCCGTCTCGTCCCGAGCCTCTCGACCGGGCGAGGCGCAGGCCTCTCGCCGTCGTCGGGGCCTTGCGTGCCTCGTGCGAGCAGGGTTAGGCTCAGACTCGCCTGTGAGCAGTCGTGCGCGCCCACTCGTGCCGCCGAGGCGGACCTGGCCCCCCCACTCTCCCTGCATCGCCTCCTCGTCCGCGAAACAGGCCCACTGACCCTCGCGCAAACGCGTATTCTCTCGCCCACAGCCGCCGCAGCAGTCGTCTATGGTCCCGCCAACAAGCCGCAAGTACCGCAACACGCGCTCCCGCTCTCGCCGCCCTTGACCGACGTCTCGGCCGCGGCGTCGACCGACAGCAGCCCAGCCACCATCTCGACGCCCCAGATGCCCGCCGGCACGCCGCCCATGTCGCCCGGCGCGAGCTCGACCCAGGGCATCGTCACGTCGCCGTTGCCGCCGTTCCCGGCCGAGGTCTTCAGCAACGTCCTGTCGTTCCTGTCGCAGAAGGACGCCGCGTCGCTGTGCCGCGTCTCGCGCTCGTGGAACCACCACATCTCGAACGACGCTCGCCTGTGGTCGACTCTCGTCGCGTACCTCGACGCGGACGACGACGCCATGTGCCAAGCCGTGTGTCTGCGCGCGGGCACGACCGGCGGCGGCATCAAGGGCGGCGGCGGCATCCGCCTGCTGCGCCTCGTCCTTCGTTCGGTCCGAGACCGTCAGGGTCGTCACGTGTCCGCGTTGCCCGCCGACTGGCTCGCCGAGCGCACGCGCTGGATCCTCGACCTCGTCGCCCAGGCGTCCGTCTCGGTCCCGGCGGCCGCGCACGGCCCGTCGGCAGCAGCGGCGCTGCCACGCCCCTGTTCGTCGTTGCGCACGTTGGACGTCGAGTTGTACCCGAACACGCAGGCGTCGCTGTACGTCCTCGACGTTGTCGGTCAGCTGAGCCTCGAGCCGACGTTTTGCAACTTGCGCAAGTGCGTCCCTCTCCCTCCCTCGTTCCTCCTCTTGGCGATAGAGCGGTCGACTGACATCCTCTCCTCCCCTGTGCGCGTACAGGGCGCGCTTCATCGTCGCAGCGCCCGGTTTGTACCTGTCGGGCGCGTTCCTCAAGATGTTCCCGACCGTCACGACGTTCGAGTTCAAGGCCCTTCCGCCCTCTCTCACCATCGCGCCTGTCGATGACCGGTCCTGGGTGTGGGAGAACCCGCTCGAGCAGGCCGTCACGTCGCTCGACCACCTCGAGACCCTCAGGCTCAGCCACGTCTACCTCGGCGACGAGATCGACCTGCCGAGGCTCCCGTCGCTCAAGCGCCTCGAGCTCCGCAACTCGACGTGGGAAGGCCGCGCCATCTTCCTCCTGTTGCGCCTCGCGCGCCGCACGCTCGAGTACATCTGCGTCGAACGCGTCGAGTTCGAGCCGGCGCACGACCAGGCCGAAGACTGGCTCGAGCACGTCCACGTCACGGACCCGTCGCTCGTCGAACCGGGCGACCTCGTGACGACGGGGCTGGCTCGGCCCTGGGCAGACGCCGTCCCGATCCTCCTCCCCGTCCTGCGCCAGCTCGAGGTGTACGGCCCGTCGCCGCCCTTTTTCGCCACGTTCGAGACGGCCGACACGTCCTCGTCGTACGACGACGACTACTACTCGTCGCCCGTCCTGTGCATGCCCGCCCTCGACCGGTGCGTCGTCGACGCTGTCGACGTCGAGTCGCTGTTCGAGGAGGACGCGCTCGGCGCCCTCGCCGTCCTCGGGCGCAACGCGCCCCTCGTGACGCACCTCGAGCTCCAGTCGCTCGACGTGTCCGACTGGCAGCTCCACTGCTGCCTCGCGAGCATGGCCGCCAAGGTCACGACGCTCGACCTGTACCAGTCGAGCATCACCGACTGGCTCGTCGTCCGCCTGCCCTCCCTCGTCCCGTCGCTCAAGGTCCTCGACGTGCGCTGCTGCGACGGCGTCTCGCCCCAGGGCGTCGCGCGCATGGTCGAGGTCATCCGCAACATCAACGACGAGGGCCAGTCCAAGGTCGAGAAGGTCTACGTCGACCCGCCGACGTCGGACAAAGCGCTCCCGGCGTACGAGTGGCTCGACTTTGTCGGCGTCCTCGAGCGCAACGAGGACGACTTTGAGGGCCACGGGCCTGTCCATGACGTCAAGCAGTGGCGCAAGTGGGTCAAGGAGGGCAAGAAGGACGAGGCGTGGGAGCACAAGGAGCTCCTCGCGAAGCTCGCGGCGGTCCAGCGCGAGCACGATGCTCTCGAGCGGGCACGCAGCGCGAGCCTGCTCGTCGGCGGCAGCGGCGAGAGCAGCAGTCGCAGCGGCGGCGGCGGCGGCGGCGGCGGCGGGCATGTCGGCGCGAGCGCGGCCGGCCCGTGCGTGTCGTTCGCCCCGCCGCGCGACGGACCGGCGTCGCACTCGCGGTCGGCGTTCGGGTCCTTCAACTCGTCGCCCATCATGCCGTTCGGCACGGCCCAGCCTACCTCGACGCCGATGCGGCACCAGTACCAGCAGTACGCCGTCCAGCCCGGCCGTCCTCAGCCGCCCGTCGTCCTCTCGTCGCACTTCCTGCCGTCCCTCCCCATCCATCGCCACCATCAGCAGCAGCAGCAGCCGTGGTCGCCGTCGCTGTCCTCCTCGGCGTACGAGCAGGCCCACACCTACTCGCCGACACCGCGCCCGTCGGCGCCTGCCCCTCCCGGTGCCTTCGTACCTCGAGTCGCGCCGTCCCTCGTCCCCATGCCGGCACGCCGCCACATGGCCGTCGCCGCCGCCGCCGACACCCGCTCCGAGACCTCGTCAATCGAGGACGCCGACGACCTCGAGGGTGACTACTCGTTCCTCGACAACGCCGACGGCGGCGCGGCGCACCTCGGCGTCGACTTTATGCGCGCGCAGCAGGACGAGCTCCAGCGCATGGAGGCGGCGAGGGACGACGAGATGCGCGCGCAGGTGCGGGCCGTCGTGCAGGCGGACCGCGACGCCCGGCTCGAGGCGGCGCAGGAGCAGGAGCGGGCGCGCGAGGCGCGCGAGCAGGACAGGAGGGACGAGGCGCAGGCGGCGGCGGTCCTCGTCCTCGCGCGGCGGCAGGGCTTCCAGCCGGCCCAGCCGGTCGGGCAGGCCGACGCCGCCGCGCCGCAGCCGCAGCCGCAGCCGACCCCGCCCGGCGGCGTCGTCTATCAGGGCTTCGCCAGCGACGGCGACAGCAGCACCGAGGGCGACGACGACGACATGGCGGCGCTGCACGGTGGGCCCGACGAGGACGGGCGCGACGAGTCGTTCGAGGCGCTCGTGTGACGAGGATGGTCTCCCCTTCCCCTCGCTCTGTATAGCTTTCTCTCCCCTGTGCACTCTCCCGTCTTTGCCCTCACTTCCCCCTCGTTCTGTCCTTCTCTGCAGCTTGGTAGCGAGTCCCGAAATGCAGCTCTCGTTCTGCGGCGAGCGACTTGGGGCACGAGCGAGAGCGAGGACTTGGGAAGGTCGACGCTCAACTTGCGGCGGGCGCTCGCTGCACGCTCTTCAGCTCGAGTGCTCGGAAGAGCCCAGAAAGCTTCAGCAAAGACCAACGACTCGCGAGAGGAGAGAGGCGAAGCGAGCGGCCGCCGGACCCTCCTCTCTTTCTCTCGCTCGCTGCGCACCTCGCTTGCCCTCGCCGGGACCAGCTCCGCGGCCCTCTCCAGCTACTTTATCGTCTCGCCCCGTCACACCGCCCCACCCTCTACCGACACCCCGTCGTCGCCGCGACCCGCCCCGCCTCCTCTCGCTCGACTCGCTCTCCCGGCCCGCCCTCGCACCAGCATGGACGAGCTCCGGTGCAACAGCCTGCGCTGCAGGAAGTCTCTCGCAGTCGAGGTGCGTCCCCGCTCTCTCTCTGTGCTCGGCGAGAAGGGCGAGAGCGGCGCGAGGTCGGGCGACTTGCACTTGGCGCGAGCTGACTCGGCTTTGCCACGCACACAGGGCACGTGCGTCCGGCTCGACATCGTCTCTGCAGGGTGACAGCGTCAGGGCAGACTCGTGAGCTGACACCTCGTCCTTTCCCCACCGCGCAGCGCCGTCGTGACGACTTGGTGAGCTCCCCTTTCCTCGGCGGCCTCACCTCTGCTGGACGCAGTCATTGACTCGGTACCTCGCGCGCACACAGCTCGCACATCTTCTGCATCGAGTGCGCCAACGCCCTCTTCTCGACGCCGCAAGTGTGCCCGGCGTGCGAGACGTCCCTTCCCGACCTGTGCGCTCGAGCCCTTTCCCTCCTCCTTTCCCTACACTCGCACTGACGTCCCTGCCGCAGCGACGACGTCGCGCAGATGACGTTCAACCCTCACGACTCGTGGAAGACGTCTATCCTGTCGGGCATGTCGCCGACGACCATCCTCGACATTGCGAGCCGGGCGCTCAACTTCTACACGTACCAGGTCCGGCCGCTTCTACCTGTCGAGGCTATATCGAGACCGACATACTGACGACGTACTCACCAGGTCCAACAAGAAGGAGCGTTCCAGGCGCTCATCACGAAGAACGCGCAGGAGGTGCGTCCCCCCTCGCCTTTCTCGCCTAGCGAGAGACGGACCTGACCGCTCTCTCGCCCGCAGCGCATCGCCGTTCTCGAGTCGCAGTGCAACACGATCACGCGCGATGCCCACGCCGAGATCCGCCTGCTCAAGGACCGCGTCAAGGCGGCCGAGGAGGGCCTCGCGCTCGAGCGCCGTCGCGCGCACGAGCTCCAAGAGACGCACCGGGCCAACGCCAAGGCGTACACCAAGCTCAAGGCGCAGTACGACAAGGCCAAGCAGCGCGCGCTGCTGCAGCCCGGCGAGGCGGCGTCGTTCCCGGCGGCGCTGCACGGCGTCGGCGCTGGCAGCACCCCTGCGCACACGCCTCGCGTCGGCAGCACTGCCCGCCAGACGTTCGTCGCCGCCGGCGCGCACTCGGCGCAGCAGCACCAGCAGCAGTACCGCGCGTCGAGCACGCTCAGCCACGCGCCGCAGCAGAACGTCGGCGCGAGCTGGACGCCGCACGGGCCCTCGCACGGCGCCGGTTCTCCCTACGCGCCCTCGCACCTGTGGCACGCCCAGCAGCAGCCGTCGAGCCGCAGCCGCCGCACCCTCGTCCCCGAGCCACCGCTCCAGCAGCAGCACCCGTCGGCCGCGTCTGGCGCCGGTCGCTTCTCGAACGCGAGCGGGTCGGGCTCGGGAGGAGGGAGGACGCCGGGCAGCGCAGGGAGCGCCGGCAGCGGGGGAGGAGGAGGAGGGCAGCACAAGGGCGGAGCGTACAGGGCGTCGCCCGGCGGCAGCGGCGCAGGAGCGAGCGGCTTCCTTGGCCAGCCGTCGGCGGGCGGAGGAGGGTTCGGTGGCGGCGGTCGCGGTGCGTCCTCTCTCTCTCTTCCTTCTCCTCTCAGTGGGTGCACACTGACGTTCTGCGTCCCGTGCAGGAGGATTCCGCCCTGCGCAGCCGCACTCGAGGCCGGGCGGGTGAGCCGCCTCCTTGCTCTCCTCCTCGACCACTTTCCGTCGTTCTCTCGCACCGGCCCTCTTTCCCCTCGCGCCTGTGCATCTTTGTCACGACTCGTCTAGCCCGCTTGTGCAACAGCAGACTCGAGAGTTCAGTTTCCGCACGCTGCCGTGGAAGAGAACCGAATCGTGGAGAGGGTCGTCGAAGGTCCGTGCACGCGAGCGGGTTCGAGGCGGTGCTAGAAAGTGACCGAGAGTTCGAGATCGCTCTGGCTAGAGGGGAGGCACGGATTGAGAAAGTGGGGGAGCTTTCGTCACTTCGGCCGAACTTCCTCACTCCTCTCCCTCTGCACCTCGCACCACCGCACACCGCACTACACACACAGCCATGGACAAGCTCACAGAAGCATCCGCATCTGCGCTCCAGCAGGCCATCGAGCTCGCCAAGGACAACGCGCACCCGCAAGTCGCACCCGTGCACCTCTTCTCCGCCCTTCTCTCGCCAACAACGAGCGCCACGGGCCAGACGAGCCAGACCCTGCTCCACTCGATCCTCAACAAGGGTGAGTCGCCTGCTCTCTGCCGGGTCCTGGAGCGCAGGGAGGTGTTGCGCTCCCTCCCCTCTCCCTCATCTCCTCGTCCTCGTCCTCCCCCCCACCTCGGCTCAACTTGCTGACCCTCTGCCTTGCCCTACCACCTTCCACCTCGTCCTGCCACGCCTTGCAACAGCCGGCGCACAACCTGAAATCGTCCAGCGCGGCCTCGCCAAGTACATCGTCCGCCTCCCGTCGCAAGAACCGCCTCCCGACGATGTCACCCTCACGCCCGCCTGCGCCAAGGTCATCAAGCAGGCCGAGCAGATCATGAAGGACAAGAACGACTCGTTCATCGCCCAGGACCACCTCATCCTCGCGTGCAGCCAGGACCCGTCCATCGTCGCCATCCTCAAGGACGCCGGCACCACGCCCGACGCCGTCAAGCGCGCCGCCGCCGCCGTCCGGGGTGGCAAGAAGGTGGATTCCCGCGGTTCGGAAGAAGGGTTCGAGGCGTTGAAGAAGTACGCCAAGGACCTGACGGCCGAGGCGGAAGCTGGACGGCTCGACCCAGTCATCGGCCGCGACGACGTGATCCGCCGCTGCATCCGCATCCTGTCGCGTCGCACCAAGAACAACCCGGTCCTGATCGGCGAGCCGGGCGTCGGCAAGACGGCTGTCGCTGAGGGCCTCGCGCAGCGCATCGTCGACCGCGACGTGCCGCCCAACCTCCTCGGCCGCCTGTGGAGCCTCGACGTTGGCGCTCTCATGGCGGGCGCCTCGTGAGTCTCTCTCTCCCTGTCTCGTCGTCTCACTCCTCCTCGAGCTCGTCACTGACTCATTGCCCCCTCGTCCCCTTCCCCCACCTCGTTCCCTCTCGCTCCCTCTTCCTCTCTTCCCTCCGACAGCTACAAGGGCCAGTACGAGGAGCGCATCAAGTCGGTCATTGACGAGTGCGAGAAGGCCGAGTCGGGCGTCATCCTGTTCATCGACGAGGTCCACCTCCTCATGGCCGGCCAAGGCTCGTCGGGCGGCGGCATGGACGCGGCCAACCTCCTCAAGCCCGCCATGGCGCGCGGCAAGATCCGCATCATCGCCGCGACGACCCTGAGCGAGTACCGCCAGTACATCGAGAAGGACGCCGCGTTCGAGCGTCGGTTCCAGCAGGTCATCGTCAACGAGCCGTCGGCCGCCGAGACCATCTCGATCCTGCGCGGCATCAAGGAGAAGTACGAGGTGCGTCCCTTGCTCTCTCTCTTTCTGCCACACACTGTCTCCCTCTCGACGTGAGCGAAAACTGACCCGCTGCTCGCCCCGCAGGTCCACCACGGCGTCACCATCCTCGACTCGGCCCTCGTCGCCGCCGCGACGCTCGCCCACCGCTACCTCACCTCGCGCCGCCTCCCGGACTCGGCCATCGACTGCATCGACGAGGCGTGCTCGGCCGTGCGCATCGCGCGCGAGTCGGCGCCCGAGGACGTCGACCGGCTCGAGCGCGCCAAGCTCCAGCTCGAGATTGAGCTGCACGCGCTCCAGGGCGAGCTCGCGCGCGACAAGAAGGACGAGGTGTCCAAGGCCAAGATCGAGGAGTGCAAGCAGGCCATTGCCAAGATTGACGACGAGCTCGCGCCCATCAAGGCGCGCTTCGAGGCCGAGAAGGCCAAGACGGAGGAGCTCAACCGCGTCCGCAAGCGCATCGACGAGCTCACGGCCAAGGCTGCCGACGCCGAGCGCAAGTACGAGTACGTCGCCCACCTTTCTCTTCCTCCCTCCCCCTCCCTCGGATACCTCGTACTGATGCCGTTCGTTCCCGCCACAGCCTCGCGACCGCTGCCGACCTGCGGCACTACGCGATCCCCGAGCTCAACAACCGCCTCGTCAAGCTCGAGGACGAGAAGAAGGCCGAGGAGCGCCAGTTGCGCGCCGAGGGCGGCGAGGCGCTCGCCGGCGACACGGTCACGCCCGAGGCCATCCAGGCCGTCGTCTCGCAGTGGTCGGGCATCCCCGTGTCCAACATGAAGGTGCGCTCCCGTCTCTCTTCTCCCCTGTCCAGTCGTCCTCGAGCTGCGCAACTGACACGTGCCCCCCTTCCCCCCTCTTGCAGACGACCGAGAAGCAGAAGCTCCTGCGCATGGAGAAGTCGCTCCGCAAGGAGGTCGTCGGCCAGGACGAGGCCGTCTCGGCCGTCGCCGACGCCATCCGCCTCAACCGCTCGGGCCTGTCGAACCAGGACCGGCCCATCGCGAGCTTCCTCTTTGTCGGTCCGACCGGCACGGGCAAGACGCTCCTCGCCAAGGCGCTCGCCAAGTTCCTGTTCGACTCGAGCGACGCCATGCTGCGCATCGACGCGTCCGAGTACAGCGAGAAGCACGCGATCTCGAGGCTCATCGGCTCGGTGCGTCCCCTCTCTCCTTCTCCTCTTCCTCAGGCCCGAGCGACCGGTACTGACCCTCGTCCTCGCGCCCTTTCCTACAGCCTCCTGGCTACGTCGGCCACGAGTCGGGCGGCCAGCTCACCGAGTACATCCGCCGCAAGCCGTACAGCGTCGTCCTCATCGACGAGATCGAGAAGGCCGCGCGCGAGTTCCACCAGTTGTTCCTCCAGGTGCGTCCCGCCTCCTTCACAGTCTCTCTCTCTCTCTCTTCCGGCCCTCAGACTAGACAGGCCCTGACCGTCCTCTCGCCCGCCCGTGCAGGTCCTCGACGACGGCCGCCTCACTGACTCGCAGGGTCGCGTCGTCAACTTCAAGAACACGGTCATCATCATGACGTCCAACATCGGCGCCTCGTACCTCAACGAGCTGCCGGACGAGGTCGACACGATCCCGCCGGCCACGCGCGAGCTCGTCCACTCGGCGCTGCGCACGGCGCTCCCGATCGAGTTTGTCAACCGCGTCGACTCGATCATCCTGTACGAGCGCCTGTCGCGCAAGAACGTGCGCAACATTGTCGACATCCGCATTGGCGAGGTGCAGCAGCGCCTGCGCAAGAACGGGCGCGACATCAAGCTCGACCCGACGCCGGCCGCGCTCGACTTCCTCGCGTCGGTCGGGTACCACCCGCTGTTCGGCGCGCGGCCGCTCAACCGGTCCATCCAGACCGAGCTCCTCAACCCCTTGTCGCGCTTCATCCTCAACGAGTCGATCCGCGACGGCGAGACGGCGCGCATCGACTTTGACGCAAAGGCCAACCGGCTCGTCGTCGTCCCCAACCACGAGCCAAGCGTCCCCATGGACGAGGACGACGACGACACGGACGAGGACATGGCGGACGGTGACGTCGAGGTGGAGGAGCTGGACTGAAGGGCCGGTCAAGCCGACGACGTGGTTGGGTCGGTGGAGGCCGGCGACGAGCCCAAGAGGAAGAGGAGGAGACGCGCATGATTCCCCCCCTGAGTAGCGTGTGCATAGCTTTTCCGTAACGCAGTACTCTGTTTGCCCCACTCTGTGTCGAGCAGCGAGAGAGCTTGCGAGCCACCTCGTTAGTCGCACGCTCGCCACGGTGCGCCGCCGCAGAGAGGCGGCCGGCCCTCGCCGTCAGCTAGGCGCACGCTAGACTTGCCTAACGAGTCCAGCACTGCACCCAGACTCGCCCACTGCGCCTCCAGCCCAAGTTCGAGGCGACCTCGCCGCTCGCCCTGGTCGAATCGTCGTCATCAGCTGGCGACACTGTCCCCTCCTCCCTCTCCTCCACCTCGACACGATGGGGAGCTGGGCACATCTGCTGTGCCTTTTACTCTACTTCTCGCTCGCTGCCGCCCTCTGGCCAAAGCCCCACGCGGTTGAGCGAGGCTCCAGCTTCGTCCGACTCGGCGCGTCGTACTCGGTCGACTTCTCCCCGCTAGAGGGCCAGGAGCCTGTTGCACTCGATGTGAGCACCACCTCTTTCATGACCTGTGTGCCCCTGTGCGACCTCAGACTGACGCGCCGTCCTACAGCTCCGGGTCGCCCTCGACCGCGCTCGTCGGCACCTCGACTCGGACCTGCTGCTGCGTCTCACGGTGGACCGCGGCGAGAGTGATCGGTACGTCCCTCGATAGTTCTCTCGCCTGGTCAAGCGAGTCTGACTCTTCGCGACGCAGCCTTGCAGTGAACGCTGCCGCCGTCCTCGACCGCCTCGAGGTCCGGCTCACTTCGTCGCGCCCGTACGAGACCTTGCTCGACCAGCTCGGCAGGCCTTACGACGAGCTCGATGAGAGCTACATCCTCGACGTGCCTTCAGGTCACGAGACGACCGCCCCGCTCGCGGCGACGCTCGCCGCCAACACGTCTCTTGGCCTCGTTCGCGGGCTCGACACCTTTGTCCAGCTCGTCTATGCACTTCCTCTCGGCAAAGAGGGTCATCGTGCTGTGCGCCACATCGCTCAAGCGCCGGTGCGCATCGTCGACCGTCCTGCCTTCCCGCACAGGTGCGCACCTCGTACACCCTTTCCTCGTCTATTCAGTCTTGACCGACCTCTTCCTCGCAGGGCCTTCATGCTCGACACGTCGCGCAACTTCTACCCTGTACCAGGTCCGTCTCCTCGTCTCCCGTCTAAGCGGCGACGGCGCTCATCAGTCCTCCCTGCAGACGTCCTCCGCACGCTGGACACCATGGCCTCGGTCAAGCTCAACGTCTTTCACTGGCACGTCGTCGACTCGCAGAGCTGGCCTCTCAATATCTCGACCTTTCCCGACCTCGCCGACCTTGGCGCCTACTCGCACGACGAGATCTACCGCGAGGAAGATGTCAAGCGCGTCGTCGACTTTGCGGCGAGCCTCGGCATTGCTGTTCTGCTCGAGGTACGTCATTCCTCCTCTCTTTCTCTCGCACCCATCACTGACTCGCAGTGTCTGCAGGCCGACATGCCGGGCCACACGGCGTCCGTCGCAGCCGCCTTTCCTGACTACGTCGCCTGTCTCGACGCTCGACCTTGGTCGACATACGCGGCCGAGCCTCCAGCAGGTGCGCTCACTCTCGCTTTCCCGCGTTCCGAGCATACGAGAGCCTGACGATCTCGACGCAGGGCAACTCAAGCTCGGCGACCCGGACGTGCTCGCCTTCTCGCGCCGGGTTCTGCAAGACGCGACCTCGAGCTCGTCCAGCAGGCTGTTCAGCACGGGAGGAGACGAGGTCGTACGTCCCGACTCTTCTACCTCGCCCTCGAGAACGTCGCCGACCCCTCGTCGCCCTGCAGAACGAGCGCTGCTACCTCGACGATCCTGCGACGTCCGCCATCCTCGCCGCGCAGAACGTCACGATCGACCAGCTCTTGTCGCGCTTCGTCAACGGCATCCACGACACGGTGCGCGAGGGCGGCAAGGAGCCGGTCGTCTGGGAGGAGATGGTCCTCAAGCACGACCTCGACCTCGGCAGCGATGTCGTCGTCATGGTCTGGATCAACTCGGTGCGTCCCTGCGCCTCTCACCCTCGGCGACTCGAGTACTCACTCGCCTCGAACCCTGCAGAGCAACGTCCGCGCCGTCGCCGACAAGGGCCACCGCCTCATCCACGCCGCGTGCGTCCCAACCGTCTCGTCCCCTCGCCGCACGCCCCGCTCACTCTCCCTTTCCCCTCTCGACGAAACAGGAGCGACTTCTTCTACCTCGACTGTGCGTGGCCCCTGTTCCTGCCGCATCGTCCCCCTTCTGACGGTGCCCAGCGCAGGTGGAGCGGGATCTTGGCTCGGCAAGACCCCGAACGCGACGTCCTGGTGCGAGTACGTCCTCTTCTCTCTTCTGCTGCACTTTTGCGAGTCGAAACACGTCCTGATAGACATACTTCTTCCACTGCAGCCCGTACAAGAGCTGGCAAAAAGTGGATCGGGCCCGCACATCCTGCTCGACCAGTGTCGAGCCGTCACTGACTTGCATGGACACGCAGGCCTACTCGTTCGACCCCTACCTCGACCTCGACTTGGCGCAGCGACACCTCGTCCTCGGCGGCGAAGCGCTTGTCTGGTCCGAGCAAGCCGGCCCGGCCAACCTCGACTCGATCTCGTGGTGCGCCCGCTCCGTCCTCGTCTTGTCACTGCCTGCCCGGATCTCCCTGACCCTCTCTTTCCCTCTCGATGCCCAGGCCTCGAGCTGCGGCGGCGGCCGAGGTGTTCTGGATGGGTGGAGCTGTCGCGCCGGGCCAGCGCGACCTCGGCGACGCTCTTCCTCGGCTGCACGACTGGCGGTCCGTCCTGTCCTTCCCTTCTCGGCGTCTCTTTGTCTCTCGCGGGCGAGCACTGACCCTGCTCGTGCACAGGTATCGCGCGGTCCGGCGCGGCGTCCAGGCGACGCCGCTTCAGCCTCACTGGTGCGCCTTGCGGCCTGGATCGTGCGACTTGGAATGATAGCTTCAGTGCGTTCTCTGCTCCTCCCTCCCGTCGACAAGGCGCCGGCCTGCAGCCTGTACCGAGAGAGGAAGGCGAGCGAGCGAGAGGTGAGCGCGAGGCGAGCAAGAGCGCTCAGGCCTCGCCGCGTCGAGTATCGCTGCGAGCTTCGGAAGACGACGCCGCACACCGTCCCGTCGCGCAGACTGAGCAGCGTGCTGCACAAGTGCCCGCACATCGAGCTCTCTGCGAAAACTTCCCGCGGACTCTCCGACGCTTCCTCCCCGCCTGCCCGAGGCGTCCGCACCTCGACCTCTCCTCCCTCCTCTCTCACACACTCGCTCGGCTCACCTCTACACGAAGAGGAGAGCCTCCGACAAGCGCCTCTACACCCGCCAGGCCCGTCACCCTCGCTCGCCCATGTCGTCCAGCGACAGCGGGCAGGCGCCATCAGCCGGCGTCTTCGACGGCCTCACCTTCCTCGTCCACGGCCACCAGGGCAAGCGCACAAAGGCCAAGATGGTCGGCTTCATCGAGCAGAACGGCGGCAGCACCACCCGCCACGCGTCGAGCGACTACTTGAGCCATCTCGTGTGCGAGCGCGACCTGTTCGAGCAGCACACGGCCTCGACGCCCGACTCAGTCCTGCGCGAGGTCCTCGACACGAACGAGCAGAAGCGCGAGGACGCCGGGCCCGACCAGAAGGTGCGCCCCTGCTCTCTCAGCGTCTCGTCTACGGTCGACGCACTGGAGCTGACCTCGCTTTCTCGTCCCTGCAGCTGCAGCGCGTGTGGATCCTCCCGCCCGAGTGGGTCGAGGCGAGCGTCAAGAACGGCGGCAAGCCCGACGAGGAGAAGTGGGACCTCGCTCGCAACGCCGACTCGGTGCGCGCGTCGTCAGGAGTCGGGCAAGGTCCGTCCTCTCGCCCGTTCGCCTCGTTCCTCTCCCTTCCTCCCTCGAGCAGTACTGACACGCTCGCAACACAGGGTCGTCGAGCAGCCGCAAGAAGGACAAGTCGACCGGCGGCAAGCGCAAGCATTCCGACGCCGACAGCGGCGACAAGAAGCCGCAGGTCAAGAAGAAGCGCTCCGAGGGTGAGCCATCTCGGCATTCTGCCTTCCTCGAGCCCTCATGTTCTGCCCCTACTGCATCGTACTCGTCCTGACCGGCCTTCCACGCTCTGCAGGGACATCATCGGCGAGCCACGACGTCAAGAAGGTCAAGGAGGAGAAGCAGGACAAGCCCAAGCCCGGGCCCCGTACCAGCTCGTCCTCTTCGGCGTCGACCAAGACGAGCTCGAGCAAGACGACCGTCGACGGCGTCGTCCCGCGTGCCGCGCCCATCGTCGGCGGCAAGCCCGAGTCCAAGCCCGTCGTCTCGGTCAACCGCACGTTCATCAAGCCCGCGTCGCAGCAGCAGCAGCAGGGCAACCAGAAGAATAAGGGCATGTGGGGCGGCATCAAGCGTACCATGGCCAAGGCGCCCGGCGCGCGTGCTCCTCCTGGCGAGCCGAGCGGCGAGGGCGACAAGGTCAAGGACGTCAAGGGCAAGGGCAAGGCGCGCGCGACCGAGCCCGAGAACGGCGCATCGTCCGACGACGACGGCCTCAAGAAGGAGATGGAGAAGACGGCGGACGGCGCCGCGTTTGACGACAGCGGGCTCAGCTCGCTCGAGGAGGACGACTGAGCGCGGCGGCGGCTTTCCCTCGAGTTTTCCGAGTTTTCCTCCTCGTCTCTCTCCGTGTACCCCTTCAGTGCCCGCTTGCCGTCGTCCGTGTTCAGTGTTGTGCAGTTCAGTCGCTTTGCGCGTCGTCACCGTCGAAGCGCGAGAGATTGTCGAGCACTTTGAGCGCACGAGAGCGAGAGGGTCAGTGCGCGCTTTCGCCGGCGTCTCGTCCGCCGCTCTCCTCGCACAGTCTCGCGCCGTTCACCCGTCTCTTGAGCGAGCTCTTCCAGCCGTCTGGGTGCAGGGAGAGCGAGGCCGAGCCGAAGCGAGTCGACGACGAGGAAGGCGAAGTTGCGGCAGTCGGATTACCTTTCGAGTCTCGCTGCTTGATTACTAGCTCGGCGAATAGCTCCCCTGGCCGCGTTTCGAATCGAACCGGGCGCACTACTCGGCGCGGCGCGGCAAGGGCGGAAGGTTCCACGTGGAGGTTGCCTCGTGTCGCTCTCTCTCTCCTTCCCCTCCACCTCGCTACTCAGGCCCAGAGCTGGCTTGAGCCCGTACAGGGCACACCCATACACGACCATGGACTCGCCCACTCCCGAGCCTCCTCGCGCCTCATCGAGGAAGCGCACCGCCACCTCGCTCGCCGCGTCCGACTCGCACCTCGACACCGCGGTACCAGAGCACGGCGACGACGCGCACGGGCCGGCCAAGAAGAAGCGCGCACCTCGGTCGACCGCAGCCGAGAAGCAGGCCAAGAAGGTGGCCAGGATGGAGCGCAACCGCCGTGCGTCCCTCTCTCCCTCCTCTCCCCCGACCGCTCCGAGACGACGCTGACCCTCGTGCGCACTCGTGCAGTGGCGGCCCAGGTCTCGCGCGACAAGAAGCGTCAAGAAGCCGAGCTCCTCGCCAAGCGCGTCGCCGAGCTCGAGGCCCAACTCGTCGTCGACTCGCCCGCCTCGTCGGCGTCGCCCTCGTTTGCCCTGCCGCCCACCCCGGCCAGCTTCACCGCCGCCCTCCCGGCGGCGACGACGACGACGACCACCCGGGACGCCCTCGTCGAGCGCCTCCAGGACGAGAACGAGTCGCTCAAGACGCAGCTCGCCCTCGAGCAGCTCCAGTCGCAGTCGCTCCAGATCCGCCTGTCGTCGCTCGAGGCCAAGTTTGGCCGCCTCGAGCAGCTCCTGTCGCACGCCAACACCGGTGGGCAGCAGGTCCAGCACGAGCGACGAGAAGGAGGCGCGCTCGACTCGACGGCACCGGCGGCCGAGGTCGGATCGACGGAGACGGACAGCTCTCGCCTCGTAGCACGCGAGGACGACATTTCCCTGCCGCGGAAGCTGTCCCACCCGTCTTTCCTCCCTTTGCCTCCACCGCCGTCGACGTCGCGCGCGACCACGACCTCGACCTCGGCCTCCAGCTCGACCTCGATGCACTCCTCGGCCTCGACTTTGGCGCCACAGCCCTCGACGGCGCGCCCGTCGCTGCACCAGCTCCTATCGGCGATCACGGTCCCGTCGACCACGTGCCCGACGACGTCGTCGCGCAGGCGTGGGTCGACTGGGCGAGCGGGCTCGACCTCGGCGCCCTCGAGGCGTCCGACCCGGGCCTCGCCGCCGCGCCGTCACCGCCGGTCGAGCAAGAGCGCGAGTTTGACCTGTTCGAGTTCCTGCGCCAAGACGCGGCTGGTGCGCCTGAAGCTGTCTGTTAGACGCTGACGGCTCGCCGCCTCTCGCGCTCGTCCCTCTCTGAGCCACACGAGCTGTGCGTCCTCCTCTCTCCTCTCTTCTCCTCGTGGTCAAGCGACCGTCGACTGACTCTTGCATTCCCCGCAGCACCTCGTTCAAGCCCCCTCCCCCCTCTACCAACGTTCCTCCCCTTCCCTCCCCTCTCGACCCGACTTCTCCCTCTCTCCTCACTCTCTCGACCCCTCCCTCGCCTCCCCCTGCTCTCCTGGTGCACCCTCTCTCCCTCTCGTCGCCCTCGTCAGCTTCTCCTCTTCCCGAGTGAGACGACGAATCGGCGGCGAAAGGGGTCAGGGGCGTATCGGTCGATGAGCTCGGCGGCGGCACGGCGGGACTCGAAGGAGCGCGGGCGCGGTGGTGGTTGTGGACGAGCTGGATGGTCAGGCTGGGACGGCAGTGTTGGGCGGCCGGGGCTGTCTCGAGGCGGGCACGTCGTCGCAAAGAGGTCTCGAGGCGCTCGGTCCCCTTGTAGCACTCTCCCCCCTCGCTTCCTCCTCGCTGTTGTAGCTTCCCTCCCTCCATCGGTAATGCAGACACTCTCTCGTCTCTCATCGCTCGTGACGGCCGGCAGAGAGATTGCATTGAACGAGAGAGGGGGTTCTAGAGCGAGACAGGCGACAAGGGCGAAGAAGGAGAAGGAGAGGAAGTGCGAAAGGCGAATTGGGTACAACAACTCAGATGGGGATGCGGCGCGCAGTGCGGACGCTGCTGAAGATCATCCTGCGCGACGACGAGGCGGGTCAGTACGTGGTATCGCCCGTCCTGAGGGAAAGAGGCACGCACTCGTACAGGTACTGCCCGAAGCCCTCGGGCGCAAAGCCGCCGTCGCCTGCTGCGCCGAGCGCAAGGCCCTCCCACGCATAGTCGGACGAGGCGAGGACGGCGTCGAACGCGACCGTGTGGCGGTGCTGGAACGGGAGAAGGTAGCTGCCGCTCTGCGGGCGGGAAGACGAGAGACCGAGTCAGGCGGTGTCCGGCAGGAGGGACAGAGGGAGAGAGAGAGGGACGCACAATCATGCCGAGGAGGTAAATGGACGCCGTGTAGCAGATGAGGCTAACGCTCGAGTCGAGGACTTGAGCGACGACGGGACGAGCCGACGGCGGGAACACCTGTCGAAGCCGAGAGCGTCAATGTCCGGCCCGGCTCGGGCCCCGAAAGAGAAAGAGTGAGCGGACGCACGTTGACGAGGTAGGCGGGCGCGTGAGGAAGTGGGCTCGGGAGCCGGGACCGCCACCGCGAGCGACTTGCCGTCGCAGGAGGCCGACCCTCGAGGACCGAGCGCGTCGACGCCTTGACCGGGTTCTTCTGCGCCTCGACGAACTGCTGGACGAGGTCGACCTGGACGCCGAGGCTCGAGGCGAGGTCCTCCTGCATCTGGCGCGACGTGCGAGGCGGCGGCGGCGGCGCCTCGAGCGTGATGACCTCGGGCTTGACCTCGGACGCCTTGACGAGCTCGTCGCCGACGGCCGACACGTCGGTCTGGATGACCATCTCGCGCACGGGGACCGGGTCGGTCTGGATGTCGGCGTCGCAGACGTTGACGGACGTCTCGACGTGGGTGACGGTCGGCTCGGTCGCAGTGCTGCTCTTCTTGCCGCGCTTCTTCTGCAAGGGGCACGAGGCAATGTCAGTCACGAGGCGCTCTGAGAGGGCAGAGAGACAGGGACGTACGATGCGACGGTGAGTCGTGACGATGATGTCGTCCACGTCGTCCTCGCCCGCCGTGTCCTCCTCCTCGTCCTCGCTCGACTCGTTCTCCTGCTGCGCCGCCATCTGGCTCGCGATCTCGCGCCCGAGGCTCTTGTTGATCGAATCGTCGAGCGTCTTGCGCGGCGAGGCAAAGGCGCCGCCCGGGCCCGCCGAACCGCCGTCGAGGAAACCCGACTTGCGCCCGACCGACCGCATCTCCTCGATCTCGAAGCGCAGCTTGTCGATCGTCTCCTTGAGCAACAGCTGCAGGGCAGGACGAGGTTGTGTCAGTGTCGGTCCAAGGAGAGAGAGGGAGAGTCGGGACGCACGTTCTCCTGCTTCTGGTCGTCGAGCGAGTCCTGCGCCCGGCGCGCGTCGGCGAGGTCGGCCTCGAGGCGGGCAATGGCCTGCTGGAGCAGCTCGCGGTCGTGCTCGAACTGCTGGACCTGGAGCGCGTGGCTCTGCATCGCCTCCTCGGCGGCGCGGTTCTCCTGCGGGCGGTCCGAGAGAGAGTCAGTGAGGCCCGGCTTGAGGAGGATGGCGAAACGAGTCGACGCACCCTGCGCGTCTCGGCCACGAGCGTCCGCAGGCGCTCGGCCTCCTCGCACGTCGCCGTGTAGTTGCGCTTCATGCCGTCGTACGCCTCGCGGCTGCGCTCGAGGCTCTTGGTGAGCTTCGAGATGTCGCTCTCGAGCGAGCTGATCTGCTGCAGGTGCTCCTTGTCGACGCTGCGCAGCTCCTTCTCCTCGCGGCGCTTGATCTGGAGCTCGGCGCGGGCCTGCGAGCGAGGAGGGCGGGTCAGTCTAGTGGGCGAGGGAGAGGGCCGTGCACGGGGAGGGCACGCGCCTCCTCCAGCCGACCTTCGAGGTCCGAGACCTCCTCCTCGTACGCGCTCGCGCTCGCCTGGAAGCGCGCCTCGGTCTCGCGAAGCTTGCGCGCGAGGCTGCGGGGCAGGAAAAGAGTCAGTGAGTGCGCGGGGCTCGACGCGTTGGGAGGACCGAGAAACAGACGACGCACTCTTGGGCATGCCGCACGAGCTGCTGGAACTGCTCGCCACCGCTGCTGCCGTCCCTCGACTGGACCGGGCTGCCCGACGCGAACAGGGCATCGAGGCCGCCCTCGCCAAACAGGCTCGACGGGCGACTGCCGGCGCCGCTCGACTGGCTCGACGGGTCCCGGCGCATCGCCGCCGACGAGAAGAAGCGCTCGGGCGAGTCGGGCGTGCCGCCCGCCGTGCCGAACAGGTCGGTGCTGCTCGTGCCGGACAGGTCGAACGCCGGAACGGTCGAAGCGGGCGGCGGCGTCTCGTTCGGGTTGGGGAAGAAGGACGACGACGGGCGCGAGCCCTCGTCGCGGATGGGCGAGAGCGGCGTCGAGAAGAAGGACGACGTGTCGATGCTGCCCTGCATCTGCGGCGAGCCGAACGTCGTCGTCGCCTCGCTCGGCGCACTTGACGCCGAGCGCGACAGGGCGCGCCCCGAGTCGGTCGAGCTCGCGAACGACAGGTCCGACCTCGACGACGTCGAGTGCGACAGGCTCGCTCGGCGCGAGTCCAGGCCGGACGGCGTCGGGCTGCGCATGCCTGTCGACGCCGACAAGGTCGGGCTCATTGGGTCCTCGCTCGTCGCGCGCCGAGCCGCCTCCTCGCTACGGCGCTTGGCGCGCCCAGGCGCGACGGGGCGAGCGTGCCGCAGCGACGACGAGAGCTTGCTGCTGTCGGCGCTGCCGGCTGCCGACGATGGCGGCCGGTGCCCGCCGCCGCCGCCGCCGCCGACGCCGCCGCCGCCGAGGTCGGACGGGCGCGTGCGCGACAGCGACGAGGACGGGCGGTGGCCGACGCTCACGTCTGAGCGGTTGCTCATCGACGAAGTCGAGCGCGCGAGGTCCCGACTCGAGACCGACGACGGCAGGGTCGGCGTCTCGGGGCTCAGGACGCGCTCGATGTGCGGCGACGCAGCGCGCACTGCGGCGTCGCCCCCGTCGAGCGGGAGCGCGACCTCGTCGGCTGCGCCTGCGCCGAGGAACGGCGGCGACCTCGGCGACGGCGGGTCCGACAGCTCGCCGTCGGCCTCGAGCTCGCCCGCCTCGGGCTCCGAAGAGCTCGACTGGCTCACGCCGCGCCCGTGCCCGTGCCCGGCGAGGCTCGCGCCGGCGTCCGAGCCCGACTCGGCCTCGCTGCCCGCCGAGAGGGCCGCGACGGCGTCGCCCTCCTCGCCCTCGACCATGGACGCGAGGCTGCTCTCGCTCGCCGTGCGGGCCCGCCGGCGCTGCGCCTCGAGCTCCTCGGCGCGCCGCACGTCCTCGACTGACGGCTGTGGCACGGGCGCGCTCGCCGACGCGACGAGCGCGGTGGCGAGGTCGGCGAGGGCGCCGGCGGGGAGCGCGGCTTGGAGGCGGTCCGAGAGCGGGCGGCGGTACTTGTGCTTGTAGGCGAGCTGGACGGCGAGGAACCGAGGGCGGTCCCAGTGGAGGCGAATGAGGCTGCGAGAGGCAGGGTGTCAGTGAGGGTGAACGAGTTGGTTGAGGAGAGAGGGCCGGACGCACCGCCAGAGAAGCTCGTCGCGCCTGCCGCCCTTCTCGACGCCGACCGCCCGCTCGACCGCCTTGGCATCGCGCCACACGCCGTGCCCGAACTCGCCCGACACGTTCTTGGCGCCCTCGACGGCGTGGAGGAACACGCGCTGGAGGGGCCCGAGCGGGACGCACTGCTTGATGGCCTTGGTGAGCGACGAGTGGCCGCCGGTCGACTTGCGGTACTCGGCGACGAGCGCGTGCAGGTGGGTCGGCGAGCGGGCGAGGAGGACCTTGGCGCTGCGGACGAGAGGGCTCGGGTCAGTACCGGGCGCGCGAGGAGGAGAAGGGAGATGAGGAAGGAGGAGAACGTACACGATCTCGGTGTTGCCCCCTCGCCGCAGCGCCACCTTGAGCTGGTCGACGTCCTCGCGCAACAGCTTGTCCCTCCTCTCCACCGCGCGCGCCTCGTCCCCCTCGACCGCCTCGTCGTCGACGATCTCGTCCTCCCACCGCCCCTGGAGCGCCACCTCCCACGCCTTGCGCAGGCGCACGTTGCTCGAAAACGCGCTCAGGACGGCGACGTCGAGCGAGCGGGTCGGCTGGGTCGGCGCCGGGCTCGGCGAGGCGGTCGGGGTCGTCGACGAGGTGGACGAGGAGGTGGCGGACGACGTGTACGAGAGGGCGCGGGACGAGGAGCGGTGCGTGTAGGCGGCGCGGAGGAGGGCGAGCGAGGCCGGCTCGCGGCCGATGAGGAGGTCGATGAGGAGGGTCTGCGAGAAACGTGCGCCCGTCAGATCCGTTGACGAGCACGGGAGGGAGAGGAAGAGAGAACGGAGGACGCACCTCGTTGGTCGTCGTCGAGTCGAGGGCCTTCTGCAGAAGCCAGACGTCCCATGCGAGCGGACCCATGAGGAGCCCTCGCAGCGCAAACTCGACTGCGGGCACAGTCCGAGTCAGTCAGTCTCGGGCGTCTCTTCTGCCGGTCAAGACCACGGCGCAAGCTCCTTGCTCACGCCATCGCCAAGCACGCTGACGCGAGAGAGTGAGAGTGGCCCGACCGACGCACCGTTGCCCTTGAACGCCTTGTCGCCCGTGACGACGTCGAGGAGCGACCTGCCCTGGCCGAGCCCTTGCGCCGAGCCCGCCGCGTACGCCTTGTCGAGCGCCTTGAGCTGCGGCGGCGTGAGCGGCGCCACGAGGTTGACGAGGTCCTTGTCGCGGGCCTGCGGGAGGAAGCACGCGTCAGGGTACGTCGGCCAAGCACAAGAAGTGCGTCGGCTGCGACAACAATGCTGCGCGACGACGTGCAGAACAATTGACCAGGGGAAAGAGTACGCGACGCACCGGTCCTTTGCCGCCCATGGTCCTCCTCACCCTCGCCGCCAGCTCCTCGGCGCTCCACCCGTCCCCGAGCGGGCCCTCGGCGCTCACTCCCGCCCCGAGGTACGTCCCGCCCTGGGCGTGCACGAGCGCGGCGAGGTCCTCGAACGTGGCGCGGCGGCGGAGGGACCGGCCCGCACCGCCGCTGCTGCCGCCGTGCGGCGAGCGCGAGAGCGACGCGAGGAGGGACGAGCGGCGGCGCGCTGCGGCTGAGGCCGGCGCAGGGGATGGCGCGGGGAAGAGGGAGAGTGCCGAGGTGGACGAGGGGGAGGTCAGGGGTGGGAAGCCGAGGTTGGACGAGGACGAGGCGGTCGACGACGACGAGGGCGTGCGGCGGTTCCTCGGGCGGGGCGAGCCCTCGTCCGTCGCGCCCGGGCCCGGGCCTGCGCCCCTCGCCACAGTGGGCGTCAGGGCCGCCGCCACCGGGGCAGCGGCGGGCTCGGTCGTGGCGCCGAGGCCGACGAGGAGCTGGAGGACCTGCTCGACGCCGACGGGCTGGTGCTCCATGCCCTGCGGGAGGGCGGCGATCTGGGCGAGGAGCGACGCGCGCAGGTCGGCATCGAGGATGTGGACGCCGCGCTTGGACTCGAAGGCCGAGAGGAGCGCGGGGAGGAGATGCAAGGGCGCGGTGCGTGAGGAGGACGAGGTCGAGGTCGAGTCGGTGGGCGAGAGGAGCGGCGAGGTCGGGTTGGCCGAGTCGAGCGAGTCGAAGAGGGTGTTGAGCCGAATGATATAGTCCGCTTCTTACTGGCG